TACCCTACTCCAGTCTATTTATACTAGGACTCTTTGAAAGGAAACAGAGATGATGGGACAATTGCACTGATTTAGAATTGTCCTTCCTTATCAGGTAACTATCTCCAGAAGGAAGGGGCATTTGTCTCTGAAGTAGATTGGCTAATTAACACTTGAGTTTTGGAGTCAAAAGAGGGTTGGACTGATTTTGAAAACAGAACAGGGTCTTTCTGACACATTTAGGGTACAAGGGTGTGCCTGCAATGGAGGGACTGATGTTCAAGGTATGTGAATGTTCCATGAACACAATACCTTCCCTACTACTGTGTAGGCTATCCTTGGTCACATATGTCTCTGGGAAGCTCCCAGAAACTTGGTTTAGTCCCTGATTACTAGTCGTCCTTCTAGAACACCTGTCTGGATTTATCTGAAGAGTTTGGATAAAATGGCAGGTTAGGTAGCCCTACCTACCCCTCCCATTCTAACCCCAAAGCATTTCCCACCCTTCCAGAAGGTAAAACTCACTGAGGCAGACAAGGAGCTGGGCTTTAGGGGCAGGCAGAGGGCCTTCTCTACATTGCTGCCAGCTATGGGGATCCCCAGGGATTGGCCTGAGGCAGTTGATGGTCAGGGCCGTCCCAGACAATATGGCCACTCCTGGGTCTTTATGCATGAAGATTATGTAAAGGTTTTTATTAAAAAAAAATATATATATATATAAATAAATGATCTAGATTATTTTCCTCTTTTCTGAATCTACTTTCTTAAAAAAATAAAATGAAATGTTTATAGCATTCCTGGTATTGGATTTCCCTTTGTATTTTTGGGCCTTCTTACATCAACAATCTGTATGGTGGCCTTGTTTGATTTAACCTGTATTTGTAATGGAGAGTCTAAATAGAGATAGGCTATGTTTTAAGGGAGACTAATTTGGTTCTGAAGTGATACCACAAATTAGCCCAAAGGGCAAATTTACTGGCAAAGGAATTGATTATTAAGTTTTACTGATTGCTACACATTTATGCACATAGATTTCCAGTTGATGGTCTTTATATTGCCCAATAGAATATATTTACCATTCAAAGCTTCTTTGCTTTTCTACTTGAGTATTTTTGTTTGTTTTTAAATCTCAAGTCATGCCAGGCATGATGTTGCAGGACTGTCATCCCAGCTACTCAGGAAGCTGAGGCAGAAGGATTATAAATTCAAAGCCAGCCTGGGCAATTTAGCAAAACCCTGTCTCAAAAAGGAATGGGGGTTAGGGTTGTAGCTTAGTGATAGAACACTTGGTTAGCATTATGAGGCACTGGGTTTGATTCTCAGCACCACATATAAATAAACAAAAAAGTAAAGATCCATCAACAACTTAAAAAGGAATGGGGCTGAAACTGTTTGCCTCGCCTATGCAATGCCCTGAGTTCAATCCCCAGTGCCCCACATCCACACCCAAACAACAAACGCCTTGAGTCATGCACCTTTCCAAATTCAGATTTCTTTTTGTAAAGGCAATAATGATTCTGGATGTTGCTTTTACACAGGGCTATTTTGAGAGGAATCAAAAGAGCAAAATAAGTATTACTCAGGTCTTATTTTGATTTTTCAAACAAGCTGTGAGCAAATTCCAGTTAGGATTAGGCCAGAGACTTCTGGACTGAGATATTAGGGGATAAGAAAGCAGAATGGTTCTTCCCTGTGGCCAGGGCTTCAATTAAACTTGGGGCCCTTGAGGACAATGTTATTCAGTTGGGAATCCCCCTCCCTCCATGACTGACCACCTGAGTGAGTGACAGAACACTGCTAGGTTTCTAGCAAAGAATTCTTAACCTGCTTTCTTTGCCAGAGGTGTTTTCAAGAATGCTGTGATTAGCTTTTAGCAGTGTTAAAGACTGTTGAATATGGGCAGTATTTCTTTTTTCAAGTATTATTTCCTTCATATAAAAAGAGTTCTAAATCAAATGTTTATTATAAAAGCCATGTTGCATCATAGAGATTAGATACCACTTAAAGGTAAGAAATAAATCTCTTCTATATCTCCAAATCCTATTTTTTGTTTGTTGCCACTGAGTTGCATCCCCAGCCATTTTTATATTTTATTTTTTGAGACAGTGTCTCGCTAAGTTGCTGAGGCTGGCTTCAAACCTACAATCCTCCTGCTTCAGCCTCCTGAGATTCTGGGATTACATGTGTGTGCCACCCAGCCCCACTATTTTTTTAAAATATTTGTTTTTTAGTTGTAGGTAGACATAATATCTTTATTTCATTTTTATGTGGTGCTGAGGTTTGAACCCAGTGCCTCATGTATGCTATCACTCTATCAATGAGCCACAACCCCAGCTCCTAGCCCCATTTTTAAAAAATGCTTTAATTTCTCAAAAATCAAAAGACTGTAACCAGTTTTCCCATGACTCAACTAAGCTGTGGAATCCAATTTGTTTACATGAATCATAATCTCAGCAGGGTCTACATAATACAGAGAGGGGCTGGGATTGTAGCTTAGTGTTAGAGCACTTGCCTTACACATGTGAGGCACTGGGTTTGATCCTCACACCATATAAAAACAAAGTTATAAGAAATAGATAAAATTTATCAAAGAAGTATACTAAGTCACCCCTCTACTCTTTTATTTGATACTAGGTATGTTTGTTTTTTTTGTGGTGCTGGGGATTGAACCCAGGGCCTTGTGCATTTGAGGCAAGCCCTCTACCAACTGAGCTATTTCCCCAGCCCTTATTTGGTACTAGGGATTAAACTCAGAGGCACTTCCACTGAGCCACATCCCCTGCCCTATTTTGTGTTTTATTTTAGAGACAGGGTCTCATTGAATTGCTTAGCACCTTGTCATTGCTGAGTCTGGCTTTGAACTTGCAATTCTCCTATCTCAGTCTCCCAAGCTGCTGGGATTACAGGCATGCACCACCACGCACAGCACCCCCTCCATCTTTTTTTTTTTTTGGTGGTGGTGCTGAGGATTGAACCCACAGCTTTGTACATTTGAGGCAAGCACTCTACCTACTGAGTTAAATCCCCAGCCCATCCCCTCCAACTTATTAATGCCCTTTATTTGTTGAAGTAATGGGCATCTGTCCTTTAGAATAGAGGGCTGGGGACTTCACTGTGCCTCYACTGCCCTATTTTTTATAAACTGTTGGTTAGATCTAGAGACTTGATTCCCATTCTTTCCCACCTCTCCCAATACTTCATAGGTGGTGCTGTGTACTAAACTACTTTATCACTTCAAAGGACACATCTTGCTGTCCGTCCCACTTAGAAGGTGTTGGTTCAGGTCTTGTCAGCTTGATCATCCCTTATAAATTCCCGTCAACCGTTTTCCTATCAATTGTGGCCAGGATTCCATCATTTCATTATTGTAAATCCTATAACTTTATATGTGTGGTCATCTCATTATTTTCAAATTAGAGATATAATAATGATTTACATTTTTTTTGCCATAATAACTCCTTAAAATTACCCACTTTAGGGGCTGGGATTGTGGCTCAGCAGTTGAGTGCTCGTGTAGCACATGCGAGGCCCTGGGTTCAATCCTCAGCACCACATGGAAGAGGATAAGTAAAATAAAGGTATTGTGTCCAACTACTTCTAAAAATAAATATTTTTAAGAAGAAATACGGGGGCTGGGGATGTGGCTCAAGCGGTAGCGCGCTCGCCTGGCATGCGTGCCACCCAGGTTCGATCCTCAGCACCACATACAAACAAAGATGTTGTGTCCGCTGAAAACTAAAAAATAAATATTAAAAAAATTCTCTCTCTCTCTCTCTCTCAAAAAAAAAAAGTACATAACATACATTAAAAAGATTGCATGTGAAAATCTTAAGTAAGTAAATATTTTTTTTAAAAATCACCTACTTTTGGGGACTGGGGCTTTGGCTCAGCAGTAGCACACTTGCCTGGCATGTGTTAGGCACTGGGTTCGAGTCTTAGCACCACGTATAAGTAAAATAAAGGTCTATCAACAACTAAAAATATAAAAAAGAAATTAACCAATTTTGGACTATTAACTTTTTTCAATATAACATTTTCACCCCAAAACATACTAAATATAAGAAATATTTCATTTGTTACAGGGACTAATATTTATTTATTGAGTTTTTAATTTGGTTTCTTCCTGGCAAAGAAAACCAAAACCCAGAGAAATCAAGAAATGTGCAGATGATCACACAGCTTATGTGGGAGAGAAAATGGGAACTGAATTCTCAATTTGGTCTAACGAGAAAGTTTATATTCTTATCCTCATACCACTTCTATTGGCTCTGATTGTAGTTGACATTCTACTTCATATATCATGTGGTTTTTCATGTTGCTACAAGCCTTCAAAACTTATTTATTTATTTATTTATTTTTTTTAAAGAGAGTGAGAGAAAGAGGGAGAGAGAGAGAATTTTAATATTTATTTTTTAGTTCTCGGCGGACACAACATCTTTGTTGGTATGTGGTGCTGAGGGCCGCACGCATGCCAGGCAAGCGCGCTACCGCTTGAGCCACATCCCCAGTCCCTCAAAACTTATTTATTTGTTCATTTATTTTTTGGTATTGGGGATCAAACCTAGGGTTTCACATAATGGCAAGTACATGCTTTATCACTGAGAATAGTCTACATACCATGCTCCTATTATGAGTACCTACATTCCTCCCAAATCATTTGTCATTAAAAGGAATTCTGAAACAAGTTGTATCATGTTGACATAAAGCAGTAATTCTAGAAGGAGGGGCAGGCTCTTCTCCTTTGAAATTACCAGAAATCTTAATATGCATCACTCTTCGCTTCCCCATGTCTCTGCTCTCATTTGCTCCTCTTTATTCTGCTCTTAGGAAAGAAGCTTCTAATTTCTCACTATTAAATATAATGTTAGCCATAAGATTTTTTGGGCTGGGGATGTGGCTCAAGCGGTAGCGCGCTGGCCTGGCATGCGTGCGGCCCGGGTTCAATCCTCAGCACCACATACCAACAAAGATGTTGTGTCCGCCAAGAACTAGAAAATAAATATTAAAAATTCTCTCTCTCTCTCTCTCTCCCCACTCTCTCTTTAAAAAAAAAAAAAAAGATTTTTTTGTTCTTTATTAAGTTGAGGAAGTTCCTCTTTGTTCTGAGTTTGCTGAGAGTTTTTAGAATGAAAGGGTGTTGGGTATTGTGAGCACTTGCATTTTGAAATGATATGAAACACATGCAACATCCAGAGGGAGATTGGGAGGGTGGATGGATATAGGGATCATGTAGGAGAGAGGACTGTGCTGGAGAAAGCAAGGAATTGACATATCTACAATGTTTGAGTCTAGGCCATGAATGTGATTGCCAGAAAAGTATTTATAGCCGTTGGTCAGTTAATGGGCCAACTTTGACAAAAGCATGTAAAACTGCATGGTAAATACCTGTGAATTTTAAGTGTATGATCCTGAAGCWGTCCTAACTCACACCTTATAACGAATACTATTGGTTGTCTACTACCTTAGGCACTTACCTTGTACTCTCTGGTTATTACATTTAATTCTTCAGCTTTCAAGGTGAGTACCAGTAATCCCATTATCTAGATTGAGAAAACTGATACTCAGAGTTTCAATATCACCCAGATCAGACAGCTCATAAAGCTGAGCTGAAAGGCTAAACTTTCCCTCTAACCCCACACTGTCAGTGTTTGGACATTGTCGGGGAGGAAGGGGACGAAGTCAGACTGCAGGGACTCTGTGAAGAGGATATGGGCTGCATCTCCTGCTCTGCATCCCCTGGCATGGCCTAAGGCTCAGCATGACTCCCACCAGGAGGGGAAAGATTTCATGGCACAAAGCACCTAGCCTCACTGGGAGGAAAGCTGCAGGTGGAAAGCAAGAATTCAGGCAATGGTTTCAGAGCTGGGAGAACAATTGCCGTCCATGGGCCCTGGCCTCACACACCCTTAAGACTATGGCTTATGACAACCTTAGAATGTACTCAGTCCTAGGATGGACTGAGCCTGAGTGCTGCTTTACAGAATTTGAATAATTTAGGTCCCAACAGCCTGAGGTGTCAGTTTCAATTGCTGTTTCCATGGGCACAGATGCCCCAACCGTGTAAGCTAATAAAAAGGGCAAGGAGGGAGGGGCCACTATCCTATGCCTCAGAACCCTTTGGGTGATAACATTCCTACTCCTGGTTCTACTGGAAGATCAACAAACTCACCTAGAGTTCAGGTGCAAAGAACAGAGGACAGAAGTCAGGGGAGAGTGAAACAAAAGGAGAAAGGGAGAGAGGAAAGGGGCAGAGAAAGAGCAGAGTCAGGGAGGCAGAGGGACCAAGATGGTTACAGAAGAAAAGGAAATTGAGAGATTAGAAGTAAATGGTTACAGAGCATAGAAAGAGAGAGAGACTTAAGGCCAGAAGAGGTAAGAACCAGCAAAGAAGGAAAAAACAGGTGCCAGGGGCCACATACTAACATAGTAGGGCAGGTACGAATCAGAAGGTCAGATAACTAAAAGGGCCACAGAGCTCCCCAGAGGGTAGGTGGACATAAGAGTTCTCAGTCTTTTTCTGATTTTCAGGTACTGTCCACACCATTCTTGCTGGCTGGGCCTGATGCTGTCCTAGGTCTGGTTAGTGACCTGCCCCACCTCTGGCTATAACAGGGCCATGGAGACCTGGAGTCACCACCTCTGCCTGGGCCTTCTGCTCCTGCTCCTGCTCTCGGCAGGTAGGAAGCTCAGTGAACCAGCCATGGCCTCTCCTGCTATTGCTGCTGTTCCTCTTGCCTCAACACTCTCTCCACATGGTCTCTCTTTTTCTTTCTCTTCAGTAATTTTTATGCTGAGAACAAGCTCTCAGGCTGGGACTGTGAAGGAAGGGAGTGCTAAAGAGGGTGAAAGGGGACTTGCCTGTCTGGGGTGGGAACAGTGACAGGGGGATCTTCCAGAGACAGAGCTGGAAAAGTCAAAGGACCTTGAATGCCAGATCAGGGCTTTATCTTACAGCCAGTGGGAGCCCTTAAAGGTTTTAAGCAGGTACTGGCCTGGTCAGATTTGCATGTTTAAAAGCTTGATTTACAGGAGGCATGAAGGGTGGTAGGAGAGAGTGAGCTTGAGATAGGAGCAGCAGTGAGGATGCTGCTGCTGCCATAGCTCAGGAGGGAGGAAGTGTCCTGAGATGGAGAGGAGAGAATGGATTCAAGAGATGTCTAGCAGAATTTGGAGGACCTGACAGGATTTGGAGACTGACTGGATTGCAAGCGAAGAAGGAAAGAGAAGATAAAGGCAGGATAATTCCCAGGTTTCCTGAGGTCACTAGGGATGCAGTTTTCTGAGACAGTAAACACAGATAATAAGCAGATTTTAAGGGTTAGGGGTGTAGCTCAGTGGTAGAAAACAACCTTAGAATGTACCAGGCCCTGGACTTGATCCCCAGCACCCCCCMAAAAAAAAAGTTTCAGAGCATGGGACAGGAGATGAGACAGGATTGTGAGAATGATGTTTAAGTCAGGGAATGAGGAAAATGTCTTAGAAAGGTTAGTGTGAGCTGGGTGCAGTGGTGCATGCCTGTAGTACCCGCTACTCAAGAGGCTGAAGCAGGAGAATCCCACATTTGAGGCTAGCCTCAGCAACTTCACAAGGCCCTGTCTCAAAATATTTTAAAAGAAAGGAGGCTAGGCCCTGGGTTCAATCCACAATACAGAGTGGGGAGGGAGACCTAATGTGTTTTACAAAGAGATAATGCTAGGCACAGTGGTATTCACCTATAGTCCCAGCTACCTAGGAGGCTGAGGCAAGAGGATCCTTTGAGCACAGGAGTTGAGATCGAGCAACACAGTGAGACCCTGTCTCAAAACAAGCAAGCAAACAAACAGACCAACCAACCAGTAGCTGACTGCAAAAGAGGGAATGTTCCATATATTGGAAGCTTTGGGAAGAATAGTTGAAATGTAGATGAAGGAGTGGAAAGATTTGAGAGAATAAAGGTATAGGATAATAGAATCCAGAATACCTGGATAACAATTTGGATTCCTGTGGCCTATTTGGGTCCTTCTAGCCTCTGTAGCAAGGCGGGAAGAATCCAGGTCCTTGGGCAGGGAAGAGTGGGGAAGAAATAGTCAGCATTGCTCCAGAGACAGTCCATGGTCTTTACTTAATTCCTCCCTAGAGGCAGGCCAGGGAGGAAAGAGCCATAGCTAAAGGGACAGAGGACAAATATCAGAAGGCTATAAAATAGTGAAGCAGATGACAAGGTTCCAGGCAGGGGTGGAGGATGTGAGCAAAGAGCCCCTCGACTAGGGTCATGGATGGACAACCCTTCTAATCAATCCTCCAGAGTGCTTGGGAGCTGAGGGCAGGCTGGCTCACAAGCTGTTCMGTGACCTCTTCGCCAACTACACAAGTGCCCTCAGACCTGTGGCAGACACAGACCAGACTCTGAATGTGACCTTGGAAGTGACATTGTCCCAGATCATCGATATGGTGCGTTATGGTGGTAGTACAGCTGTAGAATGTTATTTGTAACCATGTCAAGGGGACAAAGGGATAAGAGATGGGGATTATTATCCCAACAATTCTTTATCTGCAAGCATTATATTAACAACAATGATAACATCTATTAATTGTGGGGTGCCCACTGTGCCCAACACTTTGCCCATCTGAACTCAATCTCATACCTGAATCTCACCCCATGTAACTGCTGAGGAAAGTGAGGCCAAGGTGACATAGCAAGTACTAGACTGTATATACAAATCATTTTAGTGGGTGCTGACCAGAATCCTGTAGGTGAGTGTGCACAAAGAGGGCAAGATATGTTTTACAGATRTCTACTCCCTACCCCCACAAGGATGAACGGAACCAGGTGCTGACCCTGTACCTGTGGATCCGGCAGGAATGGACGGATGCCTACCTACGATGGGACCCCAATACCTATGGTGGCCTGGATTCCATCCGCATCCCCAGTAGTCTTGTGTGGCGTCCAGACATCGTGCTCTATAACAAGTACTGCCTGCCTGGGCCCCTCCCCTTTCCTATCCCTTTACAGAGTTGCCCTTAGCCCTGGGTGTGTATTGATCCCCCTCCCCACCACCTAATCTGGTTGCTATGCTGCCCAGGAAACTCCCTGGGACCCATCTAAAATACCAAAAGCTCACAGACCCTCCATGGCGCCCCCATTTTAGGCTGTCCCAAGCCAACTCAGACTGAATGTGTCCTGGGAACCCGTTACATGGTTCTGACCAATTATGTCTCTCAAAGAAAGGTGTCTGTGGTACATTACCTCTCTGGCACCCTCCACTCTGCAAGACCAGCTCGAAGTCTCAGGGATTCCCAGGGCTTTCTCTTCCAGGGGCTAGTTCTCTGACGCATTCTTTTATGCCACCTTAATCAGTTCTGTCTCTCCCAAACAATACATGGTATTACATAGGTTTCCCGTGGCCCTCTAAAGAGTTTTGAAGATGACACCCAAGGATACTCCCAATGTCACCACAGGTTTTACAAAAGCCTTTTTGTCCTGTCCTGGGCTAGCATTGTGTCCCTTCAGACTCCTTCAGGCACTACCTATTTTAGACCTCCAAAGGTGGAATTTCACTTTATGGCACACTCCATCCTCGGTGCTGCCTTGCCCTCTATGAATTAAGGGGCGCTCTTCCGCTGTGGCCACTTTGGTGAGCCTCGTCCCGCTTGCTCGCAGGGCTGACGCGCAACCATCGGCATCCGCCAGCACGAATGTGGTTGTGCGGCATGATGGCGCAGTGCGCTGGGATGCCCCCGCCATCACACGCAGCTCATGCCGCGTAGACGTGTCAGCCTTCCCATTCGACGCTCAGCGCTGTGGACTGACGTTCGGCTCATGGACACATGGTGGGCATCAGCTGGATGTGCGGCCTCGTGGCGCCGCCGCCAGCCTGGCTGACTTCGTGGAAAACGTGGAGTGGCATGTGCTGGGCATGCCAGCGCGGCGGCGTGTGCTCACCTATGGCTGTTGCTCAGAGCCCTACCCCGATGTGACCTTCACGCTGCTGCTGCGCCGCCGTGCCGCCGCCTATGTGTGCAACCTCCTGCTTCCCTGCGTGCTCATCTCGCTGCTTGCGCCACTCGCCTTCCACCTACCAGCTGATTCGGGAGAGAAGGTGTCACTCGGGGTCACCGTGCTGCTGGCGCTCACCGTCTTCCAGCTGCTCCTGGCTGAGAGTATGCCGCCAGCCGAGAGCGTGCCACTTATCGGTGAGCCAGCCTGGGCGTTGGGAGAGGTGGTCCCCTTCTGGGCTGAGGCTCCTGGGCATCCATAATACAGGGCAGGGGAGCGCTGAACTCCAGCCCAACCAGGAGCGGATTCAGGGATTGAGGCCGCAGAGTGCCTCTGCTTCAGTGGGAGAGAGTGAGTCATGGGTGCATCCTGCATTTTGAAGTGAGGGGAAAAAAATAGAAAAGCCCTCACCACTAGGGGCGGGAAGGAGTCTGTCTTGGGGCTTTGATGAAGGAAGATCATATAATAATAGGCAAAATGTATTGTGTGCTCCCTGTGTGCCAGGCATTCTTCTATGTGTTTGACATTTATTAACTTAGGTGAGCATTGCCACAGACGTCTGTGGACAATGTCTTGTTGTCCCAGTTGTATAGAAAGGATTGGCATGTAGCCTGAGAGTATGCCCATAACTATATGGGCCTCCACCAGTGTGGAAAACAAGCAGGAGGCAGGCAACTTCTGAGGGTGCACAGGGAGGGATGAGGAATGAGGAGAACTGGACTCTTAACTCCTTCGTTTTTCTATTCATTGGGCTTGAAGAGTCCTCAAAGCCTTCTGGAGGGCTTCTATTTAGGGGAAGGCAGCTGAGAAACTCATGATCCTGAAGTTCTTTTGGGCCCCAACTGGTTATTTCTCTTACAGGGAAGTACTACATGGCCACTATGACCATGGTCACATTCTCGACAGCACTTACCATCCTTATCATGAATCTGCATTACTGTGGTCCCAGTGCCCGCCCAGTACCAGCCTGGGCTAGGGTCCTCCTGCTAGGACACCTGGCAAGGGGCCTGTGTGTGCGAGAACGAGGGGAACCCTGTGGACAGCCCAGGCCACCGGAGCCAGTCCCCAGCCCCCAGCCGCCTGCTGGCCCCCCAGCAGGGCCTTGCCATGAGCCACATTGTCTGTGTAGGCAGGAAGCCCTATTACACCATGTATCCACCATTGCCAGCACCTTCCGCAGCCACAGGGCTGCCCAGCGCCGCCGTGAAGACTGGAAGCGCCTGGCACGTGTGATGGACCGCTTCTTCCTGGGAATCTTCTTTTCCATGGCCCTAGTCATGAGTCTTCTGGTGCTGGTACAGGCCCTGTGAGGAGCTGGGACTGGGTCCCAGAAAGCATCCATAGCCACAGCAGCCACAGGATGGATGGCAAAAGCCAGGTGGTTGTTGATCCTCAAATAATCCAGCCTCTCCTTACCGCTGCTAAGAGCCTGGGAAACCCTCTCTTCAGAATCAGTACTGCTAATTTCACAATCTACAAGGAACCCTTGTTGTGTCCATGCCCTGACTAAGGGGGATCCAGATCCTAACACTGCCCTAATTCCTAAAGAAGAACTCCAGGAAGGATCAAGATTGAAGTATAAACTTGGACAGAACTGAATGACCATGCTCAGAGTTAGAGCTCTTAGTGGGGAAAGAGCAGGTGATTACATAAGAAACAGCAGCAGGGTATGGTGGTGCACCCCTGTAATCCCAGCAGCTCAGGAGGCTAAGGAAGGAGGATCACACAAGTTTGAGGTCCACCTCAGCAATTAGCGAGACCCTGTCTCAAAAATTAAAAAAGGACTGGGAATGTAGCTCAGTGTTAAAATGCCCTGGGTTCAATCCCCAGCTCAGGAAGGAAGGAAGAAGGAAGAGAAGGAAGAAAGTTACTGCATTTCCTGTCTTTATAGGCAGCTGCTGCTTTGGAAACATGGTCGGTCTTGCCTATYACTATCTAGGGCTCAGGGAAAACAATTCGTTGTCTGCTTTCCAGAGCAAGAAGTGAAACAGACATCTGTTCCCAAAGCCTTAACCTATAATAAAGTGTGTGCCTAGTATCTCCTTGATGTCCTGTCTTCCCCTGGTGGTCTATGGTGGCAGAAGTCAGGGATCCATGTTTTTCTCTAGAGACAGGCACCTCAGGACTCATGAATCACAGCATAAATTAACATCTTTGCTGACAAGAAAATTGGGATTTGACTGGGACTCTCAGAGAGGGCCTAAAGCTCTATTTCTTCTTCTCTCTGAGCTCTGGATTTAGATGCAGTCCATCCAATTCCCACACACTTACATTTGGGGAGCTTGAAAGTGTCCAAAGTAGGGGCAGTGCAGAGACCAGCCTTTCACAGGAATTTGTCCCTTTCTGACTTCCACACAGTTCCAGGCATTATCTCTGTGCCTCAGACTCAGTCCCTATCCTCAGGAATCTCACAATCTGATATGGGAAGCATTCACAGACCTTTGCCAGCACAGAGGCAGGGCCCATAACCCAGGCAGGTGGCAGAGGTCAGAAAAGGCTTCCTGGAGGAGTCAATTAGAGCTTTCCAGGTAAATATGTGAAACATTTGAATTACACCAGCAAGTCCTATGGCCAAGTGCTTCCCTACCCAGTCAGCCCCCAATAAATTGAAATCTCTTCTATCTCCAAGTGAGTGATTGCCTGTTCTGGAATCCTCCTGCCTTTAGTCAGAGTATCATTCCTAGCACCCTGATGGAAGATTCAGTCCCTAAATTCTTTATTGTGTCTCCAGGTCTGAGAGGTCTGGAAGCTGTCAGAGAAGGTCCCAGAGCCCTGCAAATGGGTTTACCAGGCATCTTGGCTACATTTAAAGTACACACATGGCCAACATCCCTAGGTTGGCAGAATGTCAGGTAAGGTTGCTCAGTGTCTGATGGATCAGAGGAAGCCTGGACTCTCTGGAAAGGACCCCACGACAAGGAACTGGAGCAGCAGCAGAAGGGACCAGACTGTGAAGAGGGAGCCTTGACCCATAGCTGCAGGGAAAGCAAAGATGGGGAGGGAGAGAGAGATTTAGGAGCAAAGTAAAGACATTATGAAACAAGACGGAAGGACTGGGATTGTGGCTCAATGGTAGAATGCTTGCCTAGCTAAGGCACTGGGTTCTATTCTCAGCACCACATAAAATAAAGATATTGAATCCATCTACAACTAAAAAAAAATATTAAAAAGAAAAAAAAGAAAATGGGCTGAGGTTGTGGCTCAGTGGTAGAGCACTCACCTCGCTCGTGTGAGGCCCTAGGTTCAATCCTCAGCACGGCATAAAAATAAATAAAGGTATTGTGTCCAACTATAACTAAAAAAGAAAAAAGAAACAGGATGGAGAAACTGTCAGAGTGTGCCGGACTGATACACAAAATATAATGGAAGACAGATGAAATGCAAGAATTGAGGGAGTAAGGTAGACATATAGAGATCAGTGAGAGCCCAGGTTCCCCTTCCAGAGGTCTTTAGGTTGAACCCCATGCCTTCTGAAGTCGACAAAAATGTGTTGTGAGGGTGGTATAGAATGAGGGGTAGAGATCTGAATGAGGTCTAGTAATGCTAAACTTGGCTCCTCTGCCCATACCTGGTAGGAGACATGCTAGGTAGACTGTGGGGGAAACATCCTAAATTCTTCCAGTGTCTGAAAGTATATCAGAACTTAAAGAAGAGGCCCGAGTTTGTGGCTGGGATGGCCTCTGGTCTTGGCTTTGCCACTTATTCTGTCACCTTAGGCAAGTCGCTTCTGTCTCTGGTCTCACTTTACTATATATAATGAGGTCCATAATCCTGTTCTGCTTCCTTCTAGCAGACTATTGTCTGGTAAGGATAGATGGAATAATGTGTGGGGAAGGTGGGAGCCATCCTGTAGGGTGGTTCGGAGTTTGGTTCTACAGCCCCTTAGGAGCTGTGTGGCAAAGGGCTGGTTGCTTYTCTCTGGGCCTTAGTTCTGTTTTCCATAGAATGGGGTGATACTGGAGTATGGTAGGATAATGTTGTGATGCACCTGGAACTCTTAAGTACTACTGTCAGGAGAATGGGGAGAACAAAATGAGACTGTGATCCTTCCTGCCAGTGACTCGGAGAGCCTCCAAGAGAGGAAGGAGGAAAGACCCACAGCTGGGGGCAGAGGAGTTGCTGTTTTTTCTCTGGAAGTAGCCTATTCCCCAAAGAGAAGTGGTGGCCCAGAAAAGCCCTAGCATAGATAGGTGTTCAAAGGAAGAGAAGAAACCCTGGTAACATCTGGTCTTATTTGCTTATTTACAAATAGGGAAATTGAGGCCCAGAGAAAAACAGGTTGGTCATAGAGAAAATTAAAGTAGAGGCGGGACTAGAATCCAGACTTTCAGAACCCAAGACCAGGCCTTGGCCTTCAAAGGTGGGTCTGAGCAAGTACTGAATATATTAATAGGGACAGTGGGTTCTGTAGCTGAAGGAAAAGGCCATCCCTACCCTGAGTCTCTCGGATGCCTGTGGCCCTTACCTGAGTTATCCAGTTGACAGGATCTAGACTTGCACTTCTTGTCTGTAGGAAACAAAGAGCAAAAAAATCAACAAAAGCCTCAGTATCTTTCCAGGTGAAAAGAACCCTCAGAGCTCTGGTGACTCAGCCTTGACTTGCTTAGAAAAAGCTGGTCCATTTCCTTCTAGTTCTGCTGGTCCATTTCCCTCTAGCCCAGGATGGGAATTCCCTGGGCTGTTTAACTTGATCCATGAGGCAGTGGGGCCAGAAGGCAGTCATCAAAGCTAGGGCCCCTTCTGGGCGACTTTTGCTCCCATAGTTGTAACTGTGCCTCCTTGCTACACTCACCTCTCCGGCTCCTTGAACCAGCCAAAGGGACTTGTGTTTTGGCCTGTCTTCTCTGTCAGCTCATGTCATTATGCTTCCTGTYCAAATTGGGACCAGAAGCCACAATGGACCATTTTAGCTGTGGTCACAGTTCTGTCCTCTATGAAAACTGAGCCTTGGGCTGGGGCTGTAGCTCAGTAGCAGAGCACTTGTCTACCATGTGTGAGGCACTGGGTTCAATCCTCAGCACCACATAAAGAAGTAAATAAATAAAAATAAAGGCATGTTGTCCATCTACAACTATTTAAAAAGAATAAATAAAACTGAGCCTTGCTCGGCCAGGAACAGCAGTGCACAGCCTCTTCAGAAATTAATGGACCTGTCTTCACCACATGATTCTGTTTCCAGCCAGACCCAGGATGGGACAGGAGGGGCAATCAACACCTGCCTGACCTAAGCCTGAAGGTAAAACTTTGGGGTGTAATGCCAGCTGCTGTCTCGCCCCCTCCCGACCCAGCAGGTGATACAGCACACAATTCATATTCTGTATTATAAATATGCTTCTCCTAGAAATGGAAGTTGGGACTTTCACTCATTTTTGGCCGCAGCAGTCTGTGTATTGATTCTGTAGCTGGAAATGAGTTCCTTTCCTGCTGGGAGAAGAGTGTGACCAGGTGTGCCTGCCCTCTCAGATAGCTTATGACCCTGCCTTGGTCAGGGAGCCCTCTTTAGCCTCCCAACAGGCAGGTGGCCATCTGTGGCCTAGATACCTTCAGGGACTAGAAGCATTCCGCTTCAGAAACCTGTGTCTCCCTCAATGGGAGGCTGGAGGGACTGTGCCATGACTGCTGCTCCTCACTGATGGTTTACTTTTAATATGTATGAAAGTATCCCTGGGACACAGGATGGGGCTCAGTTTTGCCAAAATCCTTTGTAGATGCAGAAGCCCACCTTTCTGCACAGTTTTGACCCTGTGCCCCTCCTCACCTTTGATGTACTCGCAATTGTATGTGCTGCGCTTGCCCAGGGCCCGGAGGTAGATGCGGGCCGGGCCTTGGGCAGGTCGGCTGGCATTGATCACCTGGAAGGTCTCAAACGGTGGGATTAGCACCTCCTCCTCTCCAGGGAAAAATGAGTAACCCTTGATAGGGGCCCCAAGGCAGGTCCAGATGCCAAAGAAGGTGTCCTCTCCAAACTGCTGGGCTGCAACATTCTGCAGGGATGCAGAGGCAAAGCCCCCTAGTCTTACCGTAGCCCCAGGCCCTGCTGGCCGGAAGCGCAGGCCATGCACCCCTCGGTACACCTGGCGGCACTGGGGCGAACGCTGACCCCTGCCCAGCAGCTGCAAGGCCTCAGTCAACAGGAAGTGGAGTGTCTTGAAGGAAAAGTGATGGAGGTAGTGAGCCCGAGAGCGGCCTGCTTCRCGCACAGCTGCATTGAACTCCTTGTGCAGGGGGCTGTTGGCTGTATAGGCCAAGAGGGCCACCCCATGCTCATCTCGGAAGCCTGGAGGTGGTGGGGGAAGGCGGGTGGGGCTGAGGCCCCACACTGACCCCCAGGCCTGGCGCTCCTGCCATTGACTGTTTGCCAGTGCCCAGCCCTCTGCATACACTTTATTGGTCTGAAACTCCGTGTGGTTGAGATCTGTAAGGGCAGCCATCATAGCTGCTGCACAGCCAGTGTACTGGTCATCAAAGGAGGCTGGGGCCATGTCTAGGGGTGTTTCTTGAGAGAAGACATCTCGTTGTGTGATGAGGTGGCTGTGGACCTGAATGAGAGGGAGCAGCAAGGACAAGAGGATATGCCCCTGTGAGAAAGAGGCCCTTATTACCCAGTTCTCCCTCCATGAGATAAGGCTTGAGAAAGGCATAAAGGGCCCAAGCACACCTGGAGGGGTAGAGGATTTGGAACTGCCGGTTGTAAGCTCCCCAAGACCAGCATTGGGGTAGCCCTCTTAGGCAGAGTGATCCCCAAGGGAAGTGGCATTCCTTCCACCCTCTGTTTCTCCTTCCAGGGTTCAGAAGCTGACAGCCAAGCTCCCTGCTGGGGTGATGGGGACGGTAGAGGATACTGTACCTGAAGTGTGTCCATGAGGCCCATGGACACAAGTAGCAAAGGCATCATGGCAGGAATCTGCATATTGGAGGTGACCCTGGGCAAGTTGCTGTGTCTTTTTCCTCATCTGGAAAATTGCAATGTTAATCTACACAGTTTAATAAATGTTAATTGACACCTAGTGTGTGCCACTCCCAGTGCTTCGCACAGAGCACCCAAGATATAAATGAAGGTTCAGAATAGAGAGGACTCTTTTTTTTAAATTCTTTTTTTTTAAGTTGTTGATGGACCTTTATTTTATGTATTTGTATGTGGTGCTGAGAATCGAACCCAGTGCCTCACACTTGCTAGGCAAGCGCCCTACCACTGAGCCACAACCCCAGCCTGAGAGGACTCTTCTTGCTGGAAGGAACATGGGAGACTTCCTGAAGGCGATGACATGTAACTAGGATCAATATAACAGCAGGTTGAGACTTGGTGAGAAAAAGTTGGGGCTTGAAGAGAAAAAGGAGTTTGGGGCAGCAGCAATGGAAAGAGTAAAGGTACCAGAAGGAGGAACTTTGAGGATAAAGAGTGAATAACATGTTATCTAGTCTGGCAGAGCTTGTCGGGGTGGGAATGTTGGGAAGAYCAGTCGTGAAGGGACTGGGCTTCACCTCACAAGGGATGTGAGGCCAGAACAGGGGCAGTTCCAGGAGCAGTCAGCAGGTGGGGCCATAGCAGGTCTCTAGGGACAGACAAAACAGGGCCTGGGGGCGTACAGAGGTCCTTCACTTTCTCTGCAGATCTCTTGAGYCCTCTTCTCCCAAACCTCAGCTGCTTCCCGTGAGGGACTGATAGAGACCTCTGGTGCTGGGAGAGAGGAGTGTACAGAGGGCATCCACCTCCCCTGGGAAGCAGGATGAACTACAGCTTCCTGCACCCTGAGGGCCCAAAGTGACTGAGAAGAGGGTGTTCCAGCATTCGGTCAGGTGGTCTCCAATTCAGGGCTGCTGCTACTGCACTGCATCTTTCTTCTTCCTCCCTGCCTCTCCCTTTTGGAGGGGATGGTACTCAGGGGCACTCAATCACTGAGCCACATCCCCATCCCTAATTTGTATTTTATTTAGAGACAGGATCTCACTGAGTTGCTTAGCACTTCACTTTTGCTGAGGCTGGCTTTGAACTCGAGACCCTCCTGGTCTCAGCTTTCTGAGCTACTGGGATCACAGGTGTGCACCACCACATCCGGCCTTCCTCTTTTTTATTATTTTATTTCAAAGTAATATGTGCTTGCTGCCAGGGAAGTAAGTATATGAATCACAAAATCCAAGTTCCCTTTCTTCTTTCACTTTCTGCACACGTCCTTCCCACTCTTACATACCCCTGCCAGTGGGGGGAGAGAGACCAGTGATAAGGGTATCTTTCAGAACTTTCTCAGAGAATATACAAATAATATATTTAAATGCATATACATAGTTTTCTATAGACAGCTGGTTTAATTTATTTTTATTTTGTGGTATTGTATTGGGGTGCTCTGCCACTGAGCTACATCCCCAGCACTTTTTTTTTTTTTTTGTACCAAGGATCAAATCCAGGGGCACTTAACCACTGAGCCACATGCCAGCCTTTTTTATTTTTATTTTTTAAATATATTTTTAGTTGTAGATGGACACAATACCTTTAGTTTATAGATTTATTTTTTTTTAATGTGGTGCTGAGGATCAAACCCAGTGCCTCACACATGCTAGGCAAGCACTCTACCACTGAGCCACAACCCCAGCCCCTTATTTTTTATTTTCAGACAGGTTCTCACCAAGTTGCTTAGGACCTTGCTGAGTTGCTGAGGCTGGCTTTGAATTTGTGATCCACCTGCCTCAGCCTCCCAAGTCACTGGGATTACAGGCATGTGCCACTGTGCCCAGCTTATCCCTACCACTTTAAAATTTTTATTTTGAAATAGAATCTCACTAAATTGCTGAGGCTGGCCTCAAATTTTTGATCCTCCTGTCTCAGCCTTCCAAGCTGTTGGAATTACAGGCATGCACCACCACCACTAAATTACATCCTAGCCATCCCAGACCTCCCAGCCCATTTCTTTTTTTAAAATTTTTTATGATGCTGGGGATTGAACCCAGGGCCTTGTGCATATGAGGCAAGCACTCTACCAACTGAGCTATGTCCCCAGCCTACCAATTTCATTTTGAGACAGGATTTTGCTAAGTTGCCAGGCTGGCCTCAAACAAGCCCCACTTGTTTTGTTTTTGGTTTTTTTTTTTTGCTTTTTTTCCCCCTAGTTGTATGTAGACAGATACTTTTATTTTTATTTATTTTTAGTTTTTTGTAGTGCTGAGGATCAAACCCAGTGCCTCACGTCATGCCAGGTGAGTGCTCTATCACTGAGCTACAACCCCAGCCCCTTGTTCTGGTTTTTATTGTCATTTTTTCAGAAAGGAAACATGCTTATGTATGCACATCCTATTACCTCCCACCCCATCGCCACCAAGAAACAATATATTATGGATTTTCTTCCATGTCAGTATATACATATCTACCTTGTTCATTATAATGACAGCATGGTGTATTTCATGATATAGTTAAATCATATGATAGATACTTAAGTATTTTTCCTAATTTTAAAATATTATGCATCATTTATAGTGAACATTCATATATATAAATTCTTGTCTATTTGTGTGCATGTTTTTATAGGAATTATTTCAAGAAGTAGAATGATATTTAAAGAACACAAATGTCTTTAATTTTGATAGGCACTGCCAAACTGTCATCCAAAAAGGTACCATTTTGTCCCCATCAGAAATGAAGGTAAGGRCCAGGGTTGTGACTCAGTGGTAGAGTGCTTGCCTCGCATGAGCCACTGGGTTCCATCCCCAGAACATCAAAAAATAAACAAATAAAATAAAGGTTTTGTGTCCATCTATAACTAAAAAAATATATTTTTTAAAAAAGGTGGCAAGTGCTCTTTTTTCCATGTTTTTGCCAATGCTGGATATTATTGATCTCTTTTTATTTTTTTTCATTTTAATTAAGTGAATATTAATTTGGAATATGGTTTGGAAATGTTATGCTCATACCATCACCCCAATCAAAATATTAAACATATCTATCACCTCAAAAAGTTTTTTTTTTGTATCCCTTTGCTTTTATTTTATTTATTTCTTTTGTTTTGTTCTGCTTTGGGTTTTTTTTTTTTTGTGTGTGTGTGTGTGTGTGTATGTGTGGCAAGAACACTTAATGTTAGATCTAACCTCTTTACAAATTTTTAAGTGCCTAATATCCAATTGTTAACTATGGGCACTATCTTGTACTGAATAGATTTTAAAGGCCCATTTTGCTCTTTGCAGTCCCAGAACACAAGAGAGTCTCACTAAAAATGCATTGAATGAATGATTGGTTTGGAGGGGACATGGTGATTTCAGTTTGTAAATGCGAATTCTCCAAGGGCAGATGTCCAAGAGGTAGCTGAATGATGATAAGAGACATTGAGCCAGGTGTGGTGGTACATCCCTGTAATCCTAACTACTCAGGAGACAGGAGAATCACAAATTCAAGGCCAATCAGCAAGATTGTGTCTCAAAATTTTTTAAAAAGGGCTGGGGATGTAGCTCAGTGGTAGAGTGCTTGCCTGGTATGAGGGAAGCCCTGGATTATAACCCATGCATTGTAAAACAAAACCAAAAAGTGTAGTTACCAACTAATGCTGGGCACAATATGGACCCCTCCTGGATTCTCATTCCCTCTGCTCATCCCCATTCACCCCACAGTCAAGTCTGCACCTGCCTCCTTGGAGACCTCCCCACCTCCTCTTTCACCCCTGTTAGATTATCATGAAGCAGGGAACAGTGCAAATGAAGAGTTCTCATACTCCAACTTCATGGTAACTTGACCTCAGGTCCTGACCATTAATAAGTTACAACTGGATAACAAGAGAGACTGGGAGAAAAGAATAAGAAGGAAGAACAGATCTTCCTATGATGCTATTTTACATTCATTGTGGCTGAAGCTCTAGTCATCTTCCTAGTCTGCTTAAAAACCCTCTGTCCAAAAACTGACTGGAAGAAATATCTCAAAAAAAAAGGAGAGTAAAGGGCTGGGGATATAGCTAAGTTGGTAGAGTGCTTGCCTTGCATACACAAGGCCCTATGTGTGCCCTCCCCCCMAAAAAAAATTAGAGTAAAAATGCAGAGATGACAATTATGGCAGTATAGATGATAACATGTCTTGCAAAAGAAAATAAAACATCCCTTCACACCTTCAGGATAAAGTCCAATCTCTATACCCCAGACTTTAAAAAAAATTTTTTTTGGTGGAGCTGAGGATTGAACCCAGGACCTTCTGCATGCATGCAAGGTAAACACTCTACCAACTGAGTTAAAGCCTCAACCCCTGTATTCTGGCCTTTGAGGCCCTTTGTACCTCGATAGTCCCATTCCCCTCCACCTCTGCTTGGCTTCTGCAGTACAGAACCAAGTTCCAAACAGGCCCAGCTGTTTCCCCTCTCCCTGGGATACCCTGCTCCTGGCTATTCACTCTTCAAGGCTTAGCCAAGAGCTACCTCCTTCAGGAAGCCCACTGACTCCTCTACCCCTCCCCCCTCCATGATACTATGCTGTCCTCTGTCACTGCCCTAAGCATACAGAGCTGCCCTCATGTTGCCTTTCTCCCCTCCTGGCCCATGAGTTTCTTGTGGACAGAGACCAGGCTTGACCTCAGCCCAAGGCCAGGCAACCCAGAAGATGAGACCCCCCTCTAGAAGGATTACTGAGAGTCTGAGAGGCTTTGGGGGCACAGCTAAGAAGGTAGAACACTGAAGAGCAGGTAGATGGCTGACCTTGGTGACAAGTTTCAGGGGGAGATGGGACAGAGGTCAGAGGGATTAGGGATAATGGGGAAGTGAGGAAGTGTAGATAGTGGGCAACCTCTCTTCAGTCAAGGGAGCTGCCCTTCCTCTGTCCTTCCTTTCGTCCTGTTCATAGCAATTCTCTTGTCAGCTTCTTTTTTTCCAGCTTGAACATTCCCTTCTGGAAATGTGAGTATATACCTCTCCCCAGGAATCCCAAATTTCCCTATGACCCCAAACCTTCCTCAGTATCCCAAACCTCTTCATCAAGTGTTCCCTAAAACTTTTCCTTATGATTCCTAAAAGTTCCATTAATCCCCCAAATCTCACTTCAAAAAAGTTTCCCTGCCTCACAACCTGGAGGAGTGTGGGTTGTCCCTTACCTAGGCCTTTTCCAGGGTGGGGAAGCTGTTGGTGGTCTCCCTTGATGGTCACCAGGGGAGGGGAGGACAGATTTCTCCTTTATACTGTCAATTCCCCACCCCTTGTACCTCCCCCACACAGCTGCTCAGAAATATGACACTCCCCCTTCTATTTCTGGATGTCTCCTCAAGGCTCAGGAACACAAGTCTCTCTGCCCAGTCTGATGGACCCAGTGCTCTGCCCAAGAAAAAAGGAATCCCTAAAGCCAGATGGAAGGTCGGCTGAGGCATGGAGGATATTGCCTGGGAAAACTACCTCTTCATTGGGTTTGGTCCTACGCCCTGCTCACCAAGGAAGAAAAAGAGAGGGTGGCTTCAATAACCCTGGCTTCAGGAGGCTTCTCTTTGCATTTTTTTCCTTTCTTGTGAATATCGACTCATCTGAGGTGGAAGGAGAGATTCAGCATAAGGAGGCTGGGTTCTAGGTCCCAGCTCCAACTCTGATTTGCCATGTGWTCGGAAGGACTTTCTACCCCACTCAGCACCCCTGTCCATCCTTGAGTACTTGTGGGGATTTTAGGTCCTAGGATGGGAGAAGCAGTTCCTCCAAGCCAGAGGGTGGAGAGAGAATAATGCAATGATCTCAGTAAGTCTGGTCCTTGGGGCTGTTCCAGTAGGCCAAGCTGTCCCCACTCTATCCTCTGTCCCTGCAACTGCAAACACTCATGTCCCTCCAGGCAGAGGGGCAGGTAAGATATGTAGGCAAGGTGCTATTTTTCACAATTATGGTAAATGGTAGACTGCCTCCTGATTCTCKAACCTAGGAGAGCCCTCAGGTGGCTAGTCTCATTGGAAAGGAGCAAAAGAACTTTTCTTGAAGCTATTTCCATATCAGGCATTCTGTCTGGGAAGATGCCATTGTTTCCATCTCCCTCCCTACCTGCCCCATGCCTGGACACATTTTGTCATCTTCTTTGGTTTTTAGGAAGGGTTTGGGGAGTAAAAAGGATTCAGGTGAAGGAAACTCTTTATTTGGTGGACAATCTGAAAGGTTGGAGCAGGGCAGGGATGGGACAAATTAGTAAAACAAGATCAGGATAGAGACTTTTGTGTAGATCTAACTTCCCATGACTAATCCAGCCCCATCAGGTGACATCTCTTAAATTTTGACGTTCAGGACCCCCACTCTCTCCTCCATGTTCAGGCTGTCAGAAAGCTCTTCCCTGAGCCATTTACTGATAAGTCAGCTGGCCCCTTCTCTCATTACCTCTACTTGGGCATCCAAAACTCAGAGCCAGGTTATTTATAGTCAAGCTTTCAGGGGGTGGAAGGGAAAGCTAGTGTTTACAAACACGGGGTCACCTGAGTCTGAGAGACTGGAACACGTGACCAAAGCGTGGGTCATATGCAAATTGTACGCTAGCGAGTGCTCAAGTCACTTCTTAGCAACCAGGGACCCTAGCCGGGCGACCCTCTTCCTGGTCTGGGGGCCGGGCCTGGCTGGGTCAGGGCACCCTTGATGGGCAGGCCGAATCTCACAAGTTCCTCCCCCAGCCCAGGCCTTGCTCGGGGCCAAAGAGGGTCCTGGAGAAAGAACCTGCAGGCTCTGRGCAAGGCAGTTTCGTCCTCAGCCCCTCACCCTGCCCAAGCCGGGTCTGTAGTTGCAAAAGACAGGTGTCGGGTTACAGCTGGGGCTATAGTTAGCCGCAGAGACTTTGTTTAGCAGTTGGGGGACAGCGCTGCGCCTGCAGGAACTTTAGCCCCTTCTGGGTTCCTTCCCGCTTTCTGCCTCCACAACCTCCAGGTGGGTCCTGGGTTCCCCAACCCTTCCTCACTCCTTCAGGCGGAGTYCTGTGATCGCCCCATCTTCGCTGTCTCAAAAAAAGAAGGCGGGGCGGGGGGCAAGGGATGCGGCTCAGTGGGGGAGTTCTTGCTTAGCCAAAAAAAAGCCACAAGACTGGAGATACTGAGTGTGGGGGCGTCTGGTAGTCTGGGGAGCAGACACTCAGGGGTGTGCAGGGGACTGTAAAATTCAAGGCCCCCCCTTACCCTTAGGCCCGCCCTTAGCCCCGCCCTCGTCCCACCTGGACCGCAGTCCACCCAAGGGACCCCTCACGCTGCGAGAGAGGAAGAGTGCTGGAGTCCATCAAAGCCAGGACTCCAACGCYGTGAGCCTCATCTGGCTCCGGCATGATGCTGGCGGCTCTGCTGATCACCCTCAGCTACCTGGGCTTCAATACCTTCTTCCGGCAGGTAACTCTGAGGAACCATTCCTTGCCACAAAGGGGGAAGTTGGGGGCAGACCTCGGGGAGGTGGTTTGAGGGATGTCTCCTCAAAATTGTCTTCCAGGGACTTTTCCCTAGGATTCCTCACCTCTCAGTCCTCTTCCTCTCAGGAACTTTCATCCCTGAAGAGAATCCCAGGTTCCCATCCTCTTTCCAAGAATCCCCATCCACCCCCCATAGCTCCCCATGTGATCCTCCCTCCTTCATGTCATCCTTCCCAACTTTCTCTTCCTCACTTCTCACATCCCACCATGTTCAGCCTCTGGAAACTCCACTGTGCCCTTCTGTCCCCATACCCCCTCCTTGACCATACCCCCAGGGCTTGACCTCCTCACACCACCCCCAAATTTCGGATAAAGGCTTCTAAAGTCCTCTCTCTAAAGGAGAGGACTCAGGAATCTGAAAGTTAAAATGATTTGGTGTGGTGTCTGAGGGCTCCAAGGGCTTCCAGAAAGATGAGTGGGAAGAGTCTGAGGAAGATGGGGACAGGATCAGGTAATTGCATGTGGACTGCATGTTCATCACCTGCATACTGAATCTTTGAGCCAGAAAAGTGCCAAGGGTCATCCAGCCTTAACTCCCGCTGAATGCAGGAAACTTTCCAATGACAAGATGACCCCTTTTAGGTTATGCTGAAGTGATCTTTATGCTGTCCTCACAACAACCCTGTGAGGTTGGAAATATCCTCAGTTTATAGTCACAGAACCTGAATCCCAGAAAAGTTGAGACTTCCCCAAGATCCCACAGCTATTAGGTGGTGTTTGGACCCATGTCTATCTGACTCAAGTGCTGTGTGTTATTTACACTGTGTTTCTGAACTCTCCTGCCACTAGGCTCTTTGTCCAGAGTTCTGAAATACTCTTTCCTGTGTGACTCCTTATGTCCATAGGCCTATGCTGTTCCTATTCTGCCCCTGGGCCTGGCTCCAGACACCTTCGATGATGCCTATGTGGGTTGCTTAGAGGAGATGGAGGAGAAGGCAGCCCTCCTGCTAAAGGAGGAGATGGCTCATCACACCCTGCTGCGGGAATCTTGGGAGGCAGCCCAGAAGGCCTGGGAACATCGTCGTCAAGGGCTCACTCTGCCCCTTGGCTTCAAAGCCCAGCATGGAATAGCCATTATGGTCTACACCAACTCATCTAATACTTTGTACTGGGAGCTGAATCAGGCCGTGCGGATGGGCGGTGTCTCCCGTGAATACTACATGAGACACTTCCCCTTCAAAGCCCTGCATTTCTACCTAACCAGAGCCCTGCAGCTTCTGCGGAGCCATGGAGSCTGCAGTAGAGGACCTGGGGAGGTGGTGTTTAGAGGCGTGAGCAGCCTTCGGTTTGAACCCAAGAGGTTGGGAGATTCTGTCCGCTTAGGCCAGTTTGCCTCCAGTTCCCTGGATGAGTCAATAGCCCGCAGGTTTGGTAATGCCACCTTCTTCTCTCTAAGGACTTGTTTTGGGGCTCGTATTCAGGCCCTATCTGTCTTCCCTGAAGAACGTGAGGTGCTGATTCCCCCCCATGAAGTCTTCTTGGTCACTGGGTTCTCCCAGGATGGACCCCGGAACCTAGTGACTCTCTGGAGCTATGATCGGACCTGCAGCCACTTTAACTGCGCATTTTTGGGTGGTGAGCTGTGCATGGGGGATACAGGACTGGCAGGGTGGGTGAAATAAGCCAGTATGTCCTTAACACAGTTCCCAGAGCCTTGAGGAGACCCACTTGGTTTCACTTGATGAAAATTGGAGGCTAAAATTCAGCTGGAGTTATTGTCCTCTGAGACTCAGGTTCTGCCAGGGCCATGTTTTCTAGATCTGTGAACATTTTCAGATGATTCTACATGTCATCTGCTGCTGGGAATATGACTGTGTAGTAGAGCATTCATGAGGTTCAGGGTTCAATCCCCAGCAACAAAGGTTCTACTCTATAGTCTGACAGACCAAAGGAACTTGGTTTGGGAGGTTATCACACAAAGTAAACAGACAGGAGTACTGTTTCAGATCTCAGAGGTCCCAGGCTTGATGGGGTTGACAGGACACAAATATGCTATTCCCAAGTGCTGAGGCAGGGAATAGTGACTGGGTGTGGTGGGAGCAGAGGTGGATAGGCAACCTGGAAGAATTTCCTGGGAGAAGGAGAAGGAAGAAAAATCAGAAGTTTGCCTTTAAGTGAAGGAAAAGATGGATTCAGTGGGGAAATGGCCTTGGCAAGGCCTGGTTGGAAGGACATTTGGGATGTGAGTCTGTCTCACGTGCTGTCTGTTGCAGGGGAGAAGAGGCGGCGATGTGTGCCTGGACCAGGTAAGTCGCCCTCCTGCCACCTCTCAGCTGCTTCAGCTCCTTCTGGGACTGCTGGCCCCCTCACTTTCTTTTCTTTTTCCAGAAGTAGAGCAGCCAGAGTCTCCTTCCAAGGGGAACTTTTCTACTTTCCTAGAAAATCCCACTCTTGGCTCCTGGGAGGTTCCAGTTCTCAAGAGCTGGGTCCTGAAAGTCCAACACCTGCCACTTAGGAATCCTGGGAACTGGTGACCTTCATATGAAGAAGGGGGCTTCAAATAGCCTTGAGAAGCAAGACCATGGTTCTGGATCCACCTCCAGCAGCCATCTTCCAAAAGGGTGTGGGGAGACCTTAGGCCATTGCAGCGTTGAGGGAAGCACACTATCTGGTGGGGACTTCCTTGGACAAGCAAGGAAAATACTATGATGGCGCCTCAATTAAATGGTGTCGCAGCATGGAGGCATGGAATTATATGATTGGTTTATTCCATGAGACTGGACCATCTGCCCTTGCCAGGATCAGGGCCTGARGAAATAAAAAAGAGTAACTTTCTGGTCACTCTGAGACATGGTCTCCTGTCAGACCCCCATCATACACTTGATCTTGCAAACTCAGAAGCTTTAACAGCCAGAGGGTCCTCACAGCACCCAGGAAGGCAGGAAAAGGGACAGATGGATTTCTCAGCGCCATTTGTCTGATGAGGAATACAAGGCCAAGAGGGACTTAACTTGTTCAAGGTCAGATAGGTAGTATTGCAGCCAAACCTCTTGCTTCCCAGGCCTCCTGCCTCCTAGTCCAGAACTCTTTTCCACCAAAGATCTGAGGAATCCCAAAGTAGAATTCTAAGCCCAAAAATATCTGGAAGTCCAGAGCAAAATATCTGGAAGTCCATTTCTTTCTACCCTGCTCACACAGGGTTCAGAAGGAAATGGAGGAAGGATCTTAAAGCATCAAGACACAGGAATTCTCACGTACTCCGTGGGCATCTGATATCACCAGTAGTAACTTTATTGAAGCAAGGAAAGCTCTTACTAAGTGATCCTCGCCCCCACCCAACTACGCTGCTGAATGTAGAGGAAGGGGCCTTTCCACTGCATTAGGAATCCCTATTGGTCCCCAAAGCCTCTTGTGGGTCCAAGTCCCCAGCCCCCTCTTCTTCTTGCTCCCTGTGCACCAGCACATGAGCTGGGGAGGAGAGGCCAGACTCTCCAGAAGTTGGAGCCCCAGCCTCTTCAGCAGTCTGAAGCCCAGTTTCCGAAGAGTCTTGGATCCCCACAATTCCTGACATGGTCAGCTCTGGGGTCTCAGAGATGGGGGGCCCCAGGTTTTGAAAGCTGTTGCGCACTCGGGTGATATAGCGACTGAGGATACTGGCACCATCAGGAGGCCGGGGCATCCCTCCTGCTGCCAAGTTTCGACGAACACCAGCAACTTCGCTTTGTAGTCGAGACACAGTTTTGGTTAACTCTGTCAGTCTGTTGCCCAGGTCTGAGAGGTGGAACATTGAGAGGGATGTTTTTCAGAAGATGAGCCTATTCAGTATTTCTTCTGTCCTCAACAGAACCCCAGGGGACACCTTGTCTGAGATTCCTGAGGACCCAGGACTGGAAGAACTGAGGGGTCAGTGGTTCAGTGAGTGGACAGAATCTGAGGTAGATGAAGCTAAGTAGTGGTGGAGGGTGGCTGCTTTAGAGCTATAAAGAAGGAAGGTCTTGTGGGTCAGAAAAGGCAAGATGACTCATGGGGAGAAATTTTAATTGGTAGGGATTTGTACATCTGCCCCAACAGCCCTCTCCCCAATCTACACCTGGCCAGCTCATTCCTGTCCTTCAGGCTTAATTCAAATTCTACCTGCCTTTTCTCCACCTTCTCCCTCTCAAAACAATAGGCTTTTTCTGTCCTTTGGGTTCCCAGTGCAATCTGTGTCTCTGTTTCTACCTAGTATGATGGCTTCTCCCCATACTGAAAGCTTCCCTTGTATGCCTGCTGTATACAGTGCCCCTCCCTACAAGACAAGCCTAGAACAAGGGAGGACACAGCAACAATCACAGGTTGAATACGTAAGTAAGTGAACGAGTGAATAAATGAACAGGTGAATAAAAGGGCTAGCTGATTCAATGAAACGAATGGCCTACGTGCCTGAATGGGTCAGGGGGTAATTCAGTGCAAGGGGCAATATTGTGCAGGTTGTGGTTTCCAAGTGTAGGGTGGGGTGATGAGCAAGAAACAGGGGTGGGGAAAGCTTGGAGGCTGACCACTAACCTTTCCGACGTGTCTCCTCAAACTCGCGCCGGGCAGTCTCTATGTAGCGCTGTACCAGAGCCTTGATGACACGAAGGCGGTAGGACCCACGCTCTCCCTCCCCAGGCCCAGGCCCTGCCCCTGCCCCCTGGTTGGCCTGGAATGGGAAGACAGGAAGGTGAGAGAGATTTCTCTACCCTCAGCCTTCCTCTAATCACTGTGCCACCCCAGCAATAAAGGACCAAGTCAAAGTTKGTGCAGACTTCTTTGTCCCTATAGGCCACACACCTAGACCTGGTCTGCCTCCACTTCACAGTGGAGTCCTAAAAGTGAGAAGGACCGGGGCCAGAAGCTAGGGAAGGGTCGACTACGAGAGCCCCATGGTAGTGGGTGGAAGCAAAGGCTAGGAGGTAGAGGAGAGATAGGAGAATTCCCAAAAGACATGGCAGTAACATGAAGGGGCTGTCGTGCCCAACTAGACCAGGTTAGGGTACAGAAAAGCAGAGTAAGTGAGCCCCCTGGATGCCCACCTTCCTCTCCCAGGTCTCTGTCAGCCTGATAATTTCCCAGTTGGTTGGACATTTACCCTTKGCTTCTTAAAATGTTTCTGAAAAACATTCAGCCACATCTTGGCCCAGTTTGTCTGGAACTTAGTAAGTATCTGTAGCTTGGGAGGAGGGTGGCATGAACTTCTATTCACATTGTATAACACAGCACTGGGAATTTTAGGAAATGACCAGAGCCAAGAAGAGRGAAAGGATGTTCTGGGAACATAGCTGGAAGGATAGCTATGCCAGAGATGTGCACACAAATGGATGGTATACAGTTGAAGCCTGGTGTGAGAGGGCCAATAAGTAGATGAGGTACTCACATAGGTGGGGATTGGGGGATAGTCTGGCTTCTTGGTTTTGCAGCAGGAGCAGCAACAGCAAATAAACTGGAAAATTCTCCTGAGAAATTTCAATGGTGGCAAGAGGTTAGTCACAGAACAGTTCTAGGGAAATGAGGGCAGGAGGTCTGGGGATGTGACTCAGTAGTAGAGTACTTTCCTAACATGTACAGGGCCCAATACAACAACAAAAAATAAAAAAGAAAGAAAAGAAAAAGAAATGGGGTAAGGAGCTGGGTAATGTGTGGGGGCTGGGTGCTCAGGGGTTGGGGTGAGAGCTCTGAGGTCATCACCTGAGAAGGTAGAAGAAGGCCTTGGGGGAGGGCAGGATGTTGAAGGGCACAGGCAGAGTCAGGCCCTCTCGGAAATAGGATAGGTAGAGCTTAGAGCGAGCAAACTTCCAYTCCACATCAGCATCATCCTGGAGGCCAGGAGGCAAGGGACTGTGAAGGACCAGGTTAGCACCTGGCTTTCCTGCTCACTGAATCTGCCTTCTCCCTCAGTCCTCACATCTCTTACTCTCCAGTGTGTCAACCATTCTCCCCATTCTGGCTTCCAACTCCTTGGACACCCACCTCTCCCCTGCCTGTCTCCACCTTTCCTCTCTCCCTCCCCATTATCTCTCATCCTCACATCTTGATCMTGCCCAGCCTGTTCTCCAGCATGCAAACCATAACCCTTCCCCTCCCTTGCCTCTCTCTTCTCATGTTCCCAACTACTTTTCCACAATGCACTCCTCCCCCTGACTGAAAAGAGGAAAGAGCACTAGACTTGATGTCTAGAGACACTGACAGCATTACCGGGACCTTCATTTTTCAGAGGAGAATTTATCCAGAGCCACAAACAAGACCACAGAGAAGGCAGAGCAGGAACACAAGTGTCTTAACTCCTTGCACCTGCTCCTCTCCATCCTTTCTCCCTTCTTCTAACTAGCTTAGGTTGACCTTGGTTCACGCACCTCGATCTTCTGGAAGGAGTTGGTGATCATGGCAATGAGCATGTTGAGCAGCACAATGACCATGACGATGGTAAAAATGCCATAGAGGGCCCGGCCCACAAATTCAGGCACCAGAAACTGAGGCATGTCCACCACACTGTGCTCCTCCATGCCAAACATGGTCCAGAACAGAAACTGGAAAGTCTCGTTGAAACTGGCATGTGGGGTCAAGAAAAGGATAGGAARTGAGGGGTGAGGGAACAGCCTGGACTCTGCCCAGACACACTCTTCCTCACCCTCCAGGATCCAGCCAAAGGTGTTCTGTATTCATGAAGTCCTTCTGGTGGAACGCTTGCCACTTCTTTTCTCTCTCTCTCTTTGTGTGTGTGTGTGTGTGTGTGTGTGTGTGTGTGTGTTGGGGGCTGATACTGGTGACTGAACTTAGGAACATTCTACCTCTGAGCTACATATCCAGCCCTTTTTAAAACTTTGAGACAGGATCTCACTAAGTTGCCCACCCTGGCCTTGAATGTAGGATCCTCCTGCCTCAGCCTCTGGAGTATCTGGGATTACAAGTGTGTGCCACCAGATTCTGCAACCTTGCCATTTCTGGGATTCAACTTTTATTCTTTTGGTCAACAAATATTTATTGAGCACACTGTAGAGTCATAGGTGCTAAGAACACATTGGTGAACAAGACAAGCAGTCTCTGTCTCCAAGGACCTTATGTTCTGGGGTGAGGATCACTCTGGGAGGTGACATGGACATTACTAACACTTGATCTGAGCCAAAATGCAGAGAAGTGATAAGATAAAGAACATGCCCCAAAGCAGGGGTTATGAACTTAGAGGGTTTAAAGAACTGAGAGGTCAGCATGACTCATCTCAGAGGACAGAGTCTGGACCTCTGAGAGGGAAGAGAGGGAAGTAGGGTCCACCCAGATGTAGGAACTCAAGAGTAAAACCTAAGATCCTTACCTTGCTCTGCAAACAATAGGAAGCTAGAGTGAATTCTAAGCAGAGGTGATACCTGCTTTACATTTGAAAAGATCATGTTGTGAGTAGAATGCTGGTGAAAAGATGGGAGTAGAGGTTTGGAGACCAGTTAAGAAACTGTTAGGCTGCTGGTGTGGCTCAGTGGTAGGTCCCCTGCACTAAGAGAGAAAGGGGGGGGAGAGAGAGAGATAGAGAGAGATAGAGAATATGAGGGAGAGAAACAGAGACACTGTTATTGTGGTCTCGGTGGGAGAAGATGGTAGTATGAAGCACAGTGATAGCAACTTCAGTGCTGCCTCTTCCAGGAAGCCCTTTCTGATCAGTCTTCCCTAAACACAGCAGAACATGTTTATCTGTTAGTCATTCACAGTTCTCATTACATTTTTCTTCCTATTGCACTTATTTGTGAATCTATCTTGTTCCCTCTATCTTGGTACCAGTTTAGACATACATGACTACARCCTCACACTGGATCTGGTGTCTGGATCAGTGTAAGGATGGCCTTAACCTAAGAAGGGCCTTAGCCTAAGTACCTCCATTTGAAATAAAACTGCAGTCCCTACCAGGTACGCCTATGGAGCCCTCCAATATGGTCATCAGGCATAGCCTGATTTTAAAAAGTCACTTTCCACAACCCTGATAAAACTCAGAGTGAAGTCTCTGTCATTTGCTTTTGCCCTGGTAAAGGCAAAAGGCGAGATTAGGGTGGAGACCACCAGACCATATGACTTGACATMAGAACAAAAGATGTCACTGAGAAAGCCGGTAACAGCTGATAGGGATTGAAAGGGCGGTCAGAAACCCCCAAATTTAGTATAAATCATGGAGTGAATGAACAGACATCCAGCCAGCCGACACTGCTGCACACAAGGCTGAGAGCCTGAGGACCTAGGACATCCCAGCTCTTCTCATCTGCCTGATCCTCTGCGTCGTCCTTATCACTCTCAACTCTACAGCAGCCTCTTGACTCTGGTGAGAAAAAGACTTCTCCTTATGACCGTCACCTCAGCCAGCCATCAACTCCACTCCAGGAGAAGCCTCTATTGGTTCCTGACCTGGTTGCTACGGTCTGAGTGAGTGCATCTCCTGGACTTGAGACTTAAGACTTAAAACTTGAAATCTAGCACTTAAGCTTAGCATGCAGAGGGAATGTCTGTAATAGGTCTGTCATGATTGAGTGCGTTTGCAGAGCTTAGAGTTAACTTAGAATTATTTGCTTTTAATTGATTATGTCTTTTGCAATGCCCACCATTAAGGATTGTCATTTCTTGATTAAGAACCTATAGAGTGAAACTGTATTAAGTGATATGAGTGAATAAACATTGAAAAGGGCAGAAGTGCGTGGACATTCTTCATCTCTCCCTTCGACTGCAGATGTCACACTTTTGCCCATTGCAATAATCAGTCTCTTGTTACTCTGACCTCCACATTACACTAAGGGTATTCTTTCAAAATGCTAATCTGACCTGTATGTGTCAATATTTAAATACTCCTAGCAATCTTCAGTCATATGTCTACCATACAACYTATCTCAGATTTTCAACAAAAATACTTTTTTTTTTTTTTTTTGGTACTGGGTATTCAACCCAGGGGTGCTTAACCATGAGCTACATCTCCAGACCTTTTAAATATTTTACTTTGAGACACGGTCTCTCTAGTTGCTAAGGGTCTTGCTAAGTTGCTGAGGCTGGCCTTGAACTTGTGATCCTCCTGACTCAACCTCCCGAGTCACTGGGATTACGGGTGTGTGCCACTGTGCCCAGCACTCAACAAAAATACTTTTGACTTAATTTTATATTACCTAAGAACAAACAGTTCAGGAAGGCTCAGCCTTGCCTTGCTGCTGTGGAATGAAACCACTAGGACCATGAAGCATGCAGGAATGAGTAGCTTCCATCCCTGGTACTAAGATTCATGGTTTAAACTGTGAAATCTCAGTCCTTAATAAATAAATCTTAATAGATCTCAGATAATAACCTGAGTTTAGGCTAGAATTCTCTGTAAGAAACTGAATAAAGCTTTGATAGACCCTGAAACCATGAGAGTCTTAACCAGTATTTGCAGGCCCAAGTATTTGTCCTTTTAGTATCGTAATTAAAACCATCATGTAGTTGCAGAATTCATGATTGGGCATCAGTTTAAGTATCACCTGGAGCTCCCTGGCCTGATGTAGAAAGACCAAGCTCCTAAGGAAGACCTTCATGCTCTAAGACCTTGTCCTAGTTACCTTCTCCAGTTGCCCCTTACAAAATTCTTCCCTAGCCGGGCGGCAGACACCTGTAATCCCGGTGGYTTGGGAGACTGAGACAGGAGGATCATGAGTTCAAAGGCAGCCTCGGCAAAATCGAGGTGCTAAGCAACTCAGTGAGACCCTGTCTCTAAAATAGTGCTGTGGATGTGGCTCAGTGGTCAAGTGCCCCTGAATTCAATCCCTGGTACCCCTCACCAAAAAAAAAAAAAAAAAAAAAAATTTCTCTTCATGCACCAACCATGGGATACATCTTGCTGTTCTGCAAATACACCTTCCTGCTTTGGTATATGGCCCCTTTCTGCCCAGAATGCCTTGTATCTTCTCAGAAGTCTATAAACCTTCTAGGTGGAATTCGGATTCTCCTTTTCCTATAAAACTTTCTCTGAGCATTCAAGGCAGAGGAAGGGKCTTCCTTTCTGGGCACTCTCAACATAAGCCCTCCTTTTACATAGTATATATTATGCCAAATTGAGCTTGTTGTAGACATAGCTATCTTCTCTATGAGAACAAGCCTGGTTAATTTCTTCTTTCTGTGCTTCCAGATCCAGGGACAGGATTGACTACAAGGAAGGTGTCAGTAAGTGTTGAGAACTTACTGAGAACTTAGTTGAGAACTCCAACGACAAACTGAATGGCTTTGAAAGTCAATGAATTTAAAAAGTGAGTGTATGAATGAATGAACAAATACTTGAATGAAAAAAATTTAATTATTGGCCATATTTAGGAAGAATTGAGCATAAAAAGAATAATGACTATAATAAGAAATTTATATATAATAATAAGATATTTGCACCCATAGTGATATTTAAAAAAGAAGAAGGTGGGGCTGGGGATACAGCTCAGTTGGTAGAGTGTTTTGCCTTGCATGCACAAGACCCTGGGTTCAATCCTCAGCACCACACACACAAAAAAGAAGAAATATAGAGACAGAAAATTGACATCTTAAAATTGCAGTTATAGAAATTGATTCAGATAAAAATCATCTATGGGGTTGGGATATAGCTCAGTTGGTAGAGTGCTTGCCTCGCATGCACAAGACCCTGGGTTCAATCCCCAGCACCACACACACACACACAAAATCATTATGGATGCTAAAATCACTTGGTAAAAGAAAGACTGAAAGGGAGCTGTTTAATCCCAGTATCTCCATATGTGTTCCCATTACTAGACGGGCTTCTCTAGTACCTTTGCAACCAAGGTGTGCCTCCCGATGTGGAAAATACCCATCACCAAATAAGTTGTGTTCTTGCCAGAGCTCCTTAACTTGAATCTAATCATGAGGAAATAAATTCTAGCTGTGGAATATAATTTAGTCTACAGTCTTGACAAAAGCATTTGTCATACAAGACATTAAAAAAAAAGGGAATGTTCAAGATTAAAGGAAACTATAGAGAGATGTGACAACAAAATGCAATGTATGATTCAATGCATGGGATTTTTAATTTTTAAAAACTCTTAAGATTTTTTTGGGCAACTGGGGAATTTTGGGGGGAGTGTACTGGGGATTGAACCCAGGGGCACTTAACCACTGAGCCACATTCCCAGTCCTTTTTTATTTTTTATTTGAGAGAGTGTCTCACTAAGTTGCTTAGGCTGACCTCAAACTTGAGATCCTCCTACCTCAGGTTCCTGAGTCACTGGGCTTATAGGTGTGCACCACCATACTTAGCAGCAACTAAGGAAGTTTGAATGAGGAATGCATAGTAAGTAATATTTTGGTATTGATATTAAATTTTTGAGTATGCAGTAAGGCAAAAATTGGCCACAGACCATACATGAGCATGGTTACATTCTAATAAAACTTTATGAACAAAAACAATTTTTGAAGTGGGATAATGGTTTTGTGGTTATTCTCTTAGGAAACTTCTGAACTATTTAGGGGTAAAGTGTCATGAGATTTACAACTTACTTTAAAACATTTCAAATAAAAGAGAGTAATAGACCAAGCAAATGTGGCAAAACAGTAACAATTGGTAAAGTCAGGTAAAGGGTATAGGGATGTCCAGTATACTTTTTAATTTTTTCATAAGAGTGCCTTTTTTCAATATGAAAAGTTTATGAAGGAAATGAGTGAACAAATGAATGTATAAACAGATGAGTGACCAAGTGAATTAATGAGAGAGTGAGCAAACAAGAAAACTGATTGAATGAATAAACAAAGGAAAGAAAAAGAGATGATCAAGCTGCAAGTCCCCAGCCTCTGCCCCAGCATACTTGCCCAGCCGCTCTGTCTCCTGGTAGGGCACATAGATGTTGTTTAGGCCACAGAGGAAGGCAGTCAGGATGATCATGAGGATGAACATGAACCTGGCATGGGATGGGATGTGGAAGGGTCAGAGCAGGTCTTCACCCTGGGAGAAATAGGACTTTGGGAAGAGGGATTGGGGGTAATGAACTTTATGGCCCTCAGGAGTATTCAATTTGGTTACTATTAAAAGTAAAGAAATCAGGGGATGGGAATGAGAAGGAATTTAAAGTAAGTGCCAAAGCAGATGATATCCCTTAAGAATAATGGGTATTGGGTCTAATCAATCAAAGCTGGGGAAGGACCAGTCTCTTAGGGAGTGACTGTGATGCTGAGATTGTATAGGGATGGCTGCGAGTGAGGGATTCTTATTGGGTGGGAGCCATCACTAGAGAGTTAGAACCACATGAGAACGAGTTATCCTGCAATAGGGAAGGCTGGAAGAATCACTAGGTGGGATATGAGGTTCTCCTCCAAGCAAAGCCAACCTGCAGCTGTTCAGAGATATAATTAGCACTTTTCTCACCTATGGCACTGTCTCCAGTCCCACCTGAGGCAGGATCCTAAGGAAGTAGGCATTAACCATGTGTTCTGATTAGGACAAGAGACCAGGTTTGGCTGTACATGATTTATCTTTCCAAAAAGGGGAAACCCATGGAACCGAGACTACTATAACCAAGGACTCTTTCAACTGTCAGTGGTTTACCATCTTTTCTGGGGTCATGAGCCTCTTTGAGAAGTAGGTTAAAGTTATAGACCTTCCCTCAAAATAAATTTATGTTCATATTTATACTCCAATCTTGTCTGTACGTCCAGGCATTCAGAGGTCTCCAGAGCTTATATCTCTGGAGGAAGGCAAACCAGGAATTCCTATGCCACACTAAAGCTGGGGAAAGTCACCAGGAGGTTAAGTGGAGTTTATCAGAAAGGAGGACACTCTGAGCAGGGACAGTACACACCGTATCATGTCATCAATCATCCTGCCAATGGAAATCTGCAGAGTGCCCAAAGACTCGTGGGCCGGCAGAATGTAGGCCAGGCGGGTGAAGCTGAGCATGCTGGTGACAGCAAAAAGCACCTCAGCCAAGAACTGGGGATCCTCTGTGCGCCACTCACTTCGCTCTGTGCAGATGAAATGGGGACAGTGGCTGAGAGACAAGGAAGAGGAGGGACTAGGGGATTCAGGGCTGAGTTGGGATACTCACCAGCAGTGGTGAAATAGTGGCAGGCAGCTCCATTGGCAGCATCCCTGCAGTGCATGTGGGCAAGCCCAGCCAGGAGGAGGCGCAGARCGAAGGCTGCCAGGTACAGGGACAGGATGACCACATCCAGGAAGTTCCACCAGTCCAGGAGGTAACTGCGCAGGCCCTCAATCCATACTTCCTTACACTCGAACCACAGGAAGCCTGGAAGGGGTGGCAGAGGGCCAGGACAGGATGGGGCAAAACTCTGTTCCTCCTTGTAGGTCAGAGCCAGATTATGATGGCCCTTTGATGAGGGCGTGGGAGCTAAAACATCACTGGGGTAAAGCCAATAAAATGTAAATGTTTAATCTATCCAAGTGTAGAATGATCTTATGTGAAAACAAGGACTCTAGGTTCATGCATACCCATGGCTAGTGTGACTTGCCCCAAGGATCACAGGTGGTTGATGCTCAGAAAGTGAGTGACAGGCTGAGACTGTAGCTCAATGGTAGAGTGCTTGCCCTGCACATGTGAGGCTCTGGGTTCGATCCTCAGCACCACATAAAAATATATAAATAAGTACTTAAAAAAAATCGCAACTCTCCATTAAAAAAAAAAAAGAAAAGAAAGAGAGTGACACCTGTGAGGAACTGTATTAGGAGGAAATGGTTTACAGCTGCTATTTTTGACCTCCACCAAATAAATATTAGGCAAATATTGAAATAATCTTGATTTGAAGGGACTCCAAATTATCAGTCTACTCAGTCTCGATGTCTCAGTGGGGCCCATTGCCAGACTTGGGGATGCCAGAGTCTTGACAGTTGGTCCCATTAGTCATTTGTACAATTTGTGCCCTTCTTCATTCCCTGCATATGTGCTGTCTGTACTATCTTGAATGCCTTTCCATATCCTTTGGAAGCCCCGCTCCTCTTTGTGGCCCAGGACAAATACTACTTCCTCCATGAAGCCTTCCCAACCAGGTGCAGGGAGTTGCCTTTGCTCCGAGTCCTCCTGGCTCTCTATTCATATCTGTGATGCTCTTACTACAGGGCACTGCAGTGTATCTCCCCGTGCGTCTGCCCTATCCCTGCCTGTCCCCTTGAACTTGGAGTCCCTCAAGGACAGGGACTGTATCTCATAAATTTGCCAGTGGTACCCAGAACAAATTAACTAATATGTATTAAGCTCCTATCAGGTAACAGTGAGATCCTGTGGTAAATAAGATGGATATAGTACCATTCCTCCCACAGCGTATAATCTAATGAGACAGGCAGGAAACAAAGTAGATACAATACAATGTGGTCATGCTAGGACTGAGGAGCAGGGGAACTGAGGTGCTGTTTGGGAGTGTTTAGGATGGATCCTCACCCTGATTTGGGGGCCCCAGAAAGCTTCTCAAAGACAGTGACATTTAAGCTGAGACCTGATAGAGGAGCTGGAGCCAGTGGGTGAAGGGGCAGTGTGGGAAGTGGTGAGTGCTCTAGGAAAAGTGAGGAGCAAAGGCCTGGACGCAAGTGGAAATAAGATGTGATCAGGGTGGGAAATCAGTGCTATATGGCAGCACAGCACCTTGTTATGTGGGCTAGAGGCTCAGTGAATGTGTATAGAATGAATGGAAACATACTTAAATTATCCATGTATTCTCAGGGCTTTGCTCACAGTAGGACTTCAGCAAACATACACTGCCTGAATAAATGAGTTTTACTTTATGTGTTTAAAAGATGTTTCTTCTCCTACAGACAGAGGAAGAACTTTATTGGTTACATCTCTACTCAGGGCAGGTCAATAGATGTTTTGTTTTGTTTTGTACCAGGGATTCCACCCAGGAGCACTTAACCACTGAATCCATCCCAGGCCTTTTTACTTTTATTCTGTGTCTCAATAAGTTGCTTGGAGTCTTGATAAGTTGCTGAGTCTAGCCTCAAACTTTCAATCCTCCTGCTTCAGCCTGACAAGTCGACAGGATTACAGGCATGCACCACTGCACCTGGCTCAATAAATGTTTAATAAATAATGGGATAAGAAAGTTTTCCTTTTGGGTTGTTCTTGTCTCTTTCCCTAAAGATTTACTTCTGGCCAGGTGCAGTGATGCATGCCTGTAATCCCAGCAGCTAGGGAGGCTGAGGCAGGACGATTATGAACCAGCCTCAGCAAAAGCAAGGCACTAAGCAACTCAGTGAGACCCTGTCTCTAAATAAAATATAAAATAGGGCTGGGAATGTGGCTCAGTGGTCGAGTGACCCTGAGTTCAATCCTAATACTTCCCCCAAAACAAAACAAAACAAAAGATTTACTTCTGGCCATCACTGACTGGCTTGGTATAGTGTGGATGGGTCTTGGTATACTGTTGGCCTGAGTTTGCCAAGTGAGGGGAGGCCAGCTAAGGAACAGGCCACTAGTCCAGCCTGATGAGCTGACCAACCAGAGGTTGGTGGAACTCTGGGGATTCTTGTAAACTGTATTTGCTGAATTGTTTGAGAAAACTTGGTTCTACTATAGAACAGAAGAAAACTGATAGAATGGATGAAATATGCATTAAGCACAGATGATTTAGTTTGAACAAATAAAGCAGGTAGAGCACATGCATATGACATACACAGAAAGGCAAGGATAAACACCARATATTCATGATACATTGAATATACATGAGGCATATGGAGGCCCTTGGTATTTATCAGCTCTTAAGTCAGCAACCTGCTGGTGAYACCAGTGCTGGTTCCATAAGTCCTCTGTTCAAAGAATGCACATAAAATTCATAGCTACTCATCAGGATAACTGGCAAGCCACAGCTATGCTGAAGCATACTAGCCACTGTTTTTCCCACAGATCAAGTAGTGGCCTAGGCACCTCTGTCCATCGCACCTCCCTGTTGAAACCTCATAACACCATCATAACAACATGTTTTATGGGTGTAACAGACTATGTGATTTGCATTTTAAGTTGGTCTGTGAGCTTTTCTGTTCTACACTTCTGGGATAGCTTGTCTGGAAGTACACGTGTATGTTACCATTACACCAAGGCAAATTGCCACTGGACACTGTGGACAAGTGTCTTATTTGTCAGAGGATAGAAACTTCCAGAATGGAAAGTGAGAGGTGCCAGGGAGAAGAATGGTGTCCCTGCTCAGGGAATCTGCCACAGGTTTAGGTTCCCGGATTGGGATAAAGGGAAAAGATTCTTGGTGTGCTAAAGGCCATAGGGGTTTGGTAATATATCAAGGAGCATCTACAAAGGCAGGGTTCCCCCACTGGGGTGCTTATCATGAAGAACAGTGAGGGGGCCTCAAGAAGAATGCCATAAATAAAGAGTCCCACATATGTACCTGTGACCCAAATCATGTGTAGTGAAGTCTCCCAGACACWCTGGCTTCGGCCACGGAAAGTGCTCAGCTGTGTCTCCATGGCCAGGGATTCTCCCAGCAGGAAGATGAGGAACCATAGATAGGAGGCGGAGTGTAACAGGAACTTCAGCACTGGGATCTTCAGCAGGCGGCCCAGCTTTGGGAAAGCAGGAGAGCATGGCTCTCAAAGTCTCCCCTCTGGCAGGCTGCAGGATCGCTTGGCCACATGAGACTCTGCTTTCTCAGATTTACCCACTTACTTATTCAGCTATTCACCAAGAATGCATTATATATCAATCAGTGGCATGGATGCATACCCATAGTCCCAGAGATTTGAGAGGCTGAGGCAGGAGGATTGCAATAAAAGAGCTGGGTATGTGACTCAGTGGCTAAGTGCTCCTGGGTTCAATCCCCAGTACCAAAAAAAAAAAAAAAAAAAAAGAATGTACTATATATCAGGCCCTGTTCTCTCATATCTATTATTTCTTTTACAACCATACGAAACACAGAGGTGAAGTTACTTTCCCTTGTGGTCCCACAGGCTTTTCAAACTCAACGAAGTTAAAAGGTAAATTCATTACTTCTATCCTAAACTTGTTCCTCCTTTCTCATAAAATGACCAGGCCACCCAGGAACCTGAACAGCCTTTCCACATGCTTTTTCTCACATGCACTCTGACAGTCTCCCTAACCCCAGTTCCCTGTCCCCAATCCATCTTTCACATGACTAGTAGAGGGAGCTTTTCAAAACACACACACAMAMAAAAACATGGGGCACTCACCTCATTAGCCTGGCATCTTTCATTTTAACATGGCTTACAAGGCCCTGGGAGAGCTGGCCCCTCCTCACTTCACTACTTGCTGTTGGCATTTCTGCCTTAGCAGCAGGGAGGGCCTTTCAGTCTCTAATGCTGTAAGTTCTCCCTCCCCTGGGCCTTCTTCCATGTTGTTCCTGCTTCATGGACACTCCTCTCCCTGTTCCTCGCCTGGTTAGTAGGAACAGATCTGGTTGTTTATGATGTCTCAGTGCCAGGCCCAATGCCTCACTTACAGTAGGGCCTCAAAGAAATATTTGGTTGGGCTAGGACTCCTAGAGAGAATGTTGGACTGTATAAGGGATTCAGGCTTTAGAGGTAGAGACCACAGTTTAAATCCTGATACTGGGGCTGGGGATGTGGCTCAAGCGGTAGCGCGCTCGCCTGGCATGCGTGCGGCCCGGGTTCGATCCTCAGCACCACATACAAACAAAGATGTTGTGTCCGCCAAAAACTGAAAAATAAATATTAAAATTCTCAAAAAAAAAAAAAATCCTGATACTGCTGTTTGCTGTGTGCCTTGGGCAAAAATCTGAGGTTCCTCCACCAACTGGGAATGCAATCCGTACCTTCCAGAGCTCCTCAAGCTACTGAGTGGGAACATGCACAAAGTTATAGCTACAAAGCACCCAGGACAGGGCCTGGCATAAACCAAGTGCTCAATAAACAAGTAATCATTCATCTTATTCTTGTACCCGAGACTTGGGCGCCAGCCAGTAGCCAAGGCAGAGGAAGGGCATGGTGAGGAAGATGAGGAAGGCAACAAAGAGCTTCCAGATGGTGGTGCTTCCACGCCAACCAGCCAGGTTCCCACACCAGATGGAGGACAGGACTTGCTGGCAGATGGGGTGTGCTACAAACTAAGCAGAGATGGGGCATGAGGAGGTAGCCACCTGGCAGGGAGAAGGAATGAGCAGGTTGGGTGCATGTCCTTACTTTCTGCCAGTGATCAAACATCCTTCTTTTCTTTCCCTGCTGGCCAGCCCAGAAGAGAGGCAACTCACTTGCCAAGCGTCCACGCAGACCCTGCCCTCTCTGGCCCTCAGGAGGCTAACTCTAAGAGTTTCCTAAGTCAGGTAGTGGCAGGTAAAACTGGGAGTACAAGTCCCAGAACTCCCAGGGTTCCCTGCCTTCTAGAGATGTGGGGGTAACAACAGTCTGAACACTCCTGAGAAGGGAAGGAGCAGGAAAAGTGGGCTTGCTGTCCTGCATGGCTGGTCCAGGGGAGCCACTATGGAGGAAGGGTTTTGGTTAAGTTTTTGGTGGGTTAGGATATCTGAGGGTAGATGACATTAAGGGGTAAGAGACTAGAGGCAGCTAGAAAAGGAGCATGTCTTAGATTGGGGGAGGGGTGTTGTCTAATAAGACAGAATAAGAATCACTTGATGTTTAATTCCTGAGAAATCCAGTCTAATCTTGTACAGTGAGGTACTGAAATCCAACAGAACAAGACTGGGCCAAGCCACTCAGCAGACTAGAGACAAAGGTGAACCTGAGATCTGCAAGCCCGGGTGTAAAGGTGGGTTCTCTAGGGAGAGGTTAGGGGCTTAGATTGAAGGTAAGAAGGGAAGGTCGGGGATCTAGATAGAAGGTGCTCAGAATGAACATCTCAGAGGGTCCTGAGTCCAGGAAAACGAGTTGCTTGGGGCTGGACTGGGGGACACCTAGAGATGGCAGGGCAAGGGATCAAGGCAGTGAGGAGAGGTAGGTAGGGCCCTGCTGACCCGCTTCTGGTTGTAGTTGACAGCCAGCCGCAGTCTTGCCAGGTTGGGGATTCCCTCCTCGAAGGCCTGGCTCAGTCCTTCAGCCTCAGGCTCAGTCTCGCTGTCCTTGCCCACGTCGTTGAGCACTGCAGTGACCTCGCTCTGGTTCCGGCACATACCCAGCAGCTCAAAACCATAGTCCTGGCTCAACGACTCCAGGGCAATGTACTCAGGCTGTAGGGAAGTAGGTCTGTATGTGTCAGCCACCTGTGGACACAATTTTCTCCCTACCCCCCCACCCCCAGACAGTGAACTACCTGTCTTGACCTTTCTACATCTGATATCACTGAGTCATTGACTTCTTTTTTGACGCCTCATCAATCTTCTTACTATAATGAGGAACCTCGTGGTCACCTTTGCTTATCTGGTGCTATTTCAACCTCATCACTAAGTTACTTCAAACCAAACCCTCTGTCACCTCAGCCTGTTCCTTGGACTTTCCTTTTTCCTGTCCCACTTCTAATCTTTCTTGTGCTCATTTAATTTTTTTGAACATCTACCTTATATGAGAACCCGTGTTGGCAATTTTAGGAGATGCAGAAATGAATAAGGCACATTACCCATCTTACCCTTGATTTCACTTGGGGCCCTTACCCCAGAGAAGATCTAAGGCAGGCTTTCAAGAGGCTAGGTCACCTCCTAGCACTGCCCCTTTGGTGGTGTCACATTGGGTCAGGTCCTTCCCTACTTCAGGCCTCAGTTTCCCTGCCTGAAAAGTGGAGATGGGAACTTTCTACTTTGCTTCCTTCCATAGGCTGCTGTGAGAATGGAGGGAAAGACCTTTGGAAAGGACCGCCCTTTCCTGCTAGCTGCGCAGTGGGAACTTTTCATGTTGTCCATCCAAGCTCCTGGTGGGGGGAGCATGCTCCTGCCCTGGCTGGCATGACAACAGGCCACATCCTGCCTTAGGCTTTCATTTAATTACTTATTATTTTTGCAGTACTGGGGATTGAACCCAGGGGTGCTCTATCACTGGGCTATATTGCCAGCCATTCTTACTTTTAAAAAAAAAATATTTTATTAGTTGTTGGTGGATCTTTATTTATTTATTTTTATGTGGTGCTGAGAATTGAACTAAATGCCTCACACATACTAGGCAAGCGCTCTACCACTGAGCCCCAGCCCCAGCCCTTAATTTTTGAGATAGGGTCTCACCAAGTTGCTGAGTCTAGCCTTGGAATCACCATCCTTCTGCCTCAGCATATGCCACTGCGCCAGGCTCAGGCCTTCATTTTAACACTCTTCTATGCTTCCCTGTCTAATGGCAATTTTGAGTCTGGCTTGGCTCACAGGATGCCAGTGGCTAAGTGATGGGTGAACTGGATTGGTGATTCAAGGCCCCTGACTGGTCCCTGCCTCCAGGCTCCACTCATGTATTTGATCTTGCACAGGGTTCCCCTGTATTTATCACCACACATACTTTTGCTACCTGACAGCCTTTGCTGGGACTGTAGCTCTACTTCAAATACTCTTCTTGCTTCTCCATGCACAGCTAACCTTAATGCTTCTTCCTCCCTGGAGAATTCCCTGAACACAACAGCTGCAGCTTCCTGACTGCTTTCTGGGCTTTGGCAGCCCTGTGAACACAGAAGCACTAAATGGGAGTGCTCCTGGGAGTGTCTTGTCACCCTCTCCCTGCATTAGAGTCCCAAGACACAATATCCAGGACCAGGGCCACACCATTGCCTGGCCCCACCCCATGGAACACAYAATAGGAACTCCAAAAAGACAGGTTCTACTGAATGTCATATCTAAGTCTCTCCAACTGTTCTTCTATTTTTCTTTCTCTCTCTTCCTTCAGATAGACCTAGAGCACCCCTAGGGTGGGGGTTGTGCCTCTTGCATAAGACTAGGTGCCCCTTGCCTGGCATGGTGGCAAACACCTGTAATCCCAGCTACTCTGGAGGCTGAGGCAGAAGGATAGCAAGTTCAACCTCAGTAACTTAGCAAGACTCTGTCTCAAAATATAAAACTAGGGGGGGGGGGGCTCTGGGGATGTGGCTCAAGCGGTAGCGCGCTCGCCTGGCATGCATGCGGTCCCAGTTCGATCCTCAGCACCACATAAAAACAAGGATGTTGTTTCTGCTGAAAACTAAATAAATATTAAAATTCTCTCTCTCTCTCTCTGAAAAAAAGAAAATAAAAAAAAAATAAAACGACTAGGGGAAAAATAGAACCGGGATGTATCTCAGTGGTGAAGCACCCCTGGGTTTAATTACCAGTATCAACCACCACCACAACAAAAAGACTAGGGGTCCCAGGACTGATTGTGACTCCTATCTATTCCTGAGAACAGATGTAGGTAACCGAGGGCAGGAGGAAGTGTGAGAACCAACCTTAAACTCAGGCTCCTTGCGTGCAAGGCGCCTGAGCTCGCGGCTGAGCTGGAAGGCAGCCAGCATGGCATCCTCACTCGCCAGTGAGAGGTGGGCCCTGCTCGCAATGCCTCGGTAGGTGTTGATGCGGGACAGAGAGAACTTCAGCAGGTCATACCTGCGGGCATTACTGCACTCAAGGCAAGCGCAGGAGACGGGGTGGGGCCGGGCAATGGTGTGACCCTGGTCCATAAGCAACTGCGCAATCTCATATAGGTCCTTCTGGCAGGCCAGGGTGAGTGGGGTGACACCAGGTGCAAAGCGGGAGCCATCAATAGATGAATCAAAGAAAGCCAGCGAGAAAGACTTAGTATCTACTTTGCGACCCTTCTCTTTTTCCAGCCGGGCCAGCAGGCGACGCACCACTGCTGGCTGGTTTGTGTCCACTGCTACTAGTAGGGCTTCATGGATCTGTCGGAAATCAAACTTGACATTGGCCAGTAACACATCGGTGATGGCCTCATGACCCAGGCGGATGGCCAGGTTGAGAGCTTCCCTCCAGGAGCGATCCTCAGCCTCCTCCACATTCCGCAGGGGCCCACCTGGCCCACTGCCTGTGGCCTCGACCCCTGACTCCAGCAGCTGCTGCACAAGACCCAGTCGCCCCTCTTGGATGGCACCCAAGAGTGGAGGTGGGAACTTGAGCTTTCTGTTCACAATCTCAGTCCAGTTAGGCTGTAGCTGGATGAAGAAGTGGAGAGGACAGGATTCTGAGTTTCTAGTCTCCTTTGTTTTGGAGTCTCTCTTACCCTCCCACTAGCTACCACTGTGTCCTTCCCTGCCCAATACATACAGGCAAAAAGTCTCTTATTCACCATTTTATTGTGTAGATTCTCATGTTAGTGAACGAGATAGTGCCAGAATGGATCCGAGGGGGTCCTTGTCCTTAGTTTAACTTCCACCTTTAGAGGGACCTAAATACATTGGGTCCAAATGGATGCCCTGAGAAAGGGTAGGTTAAAGCAGGGCTGCACAGGGAGCCTAACCCTACATGTAGGCACAAAGGATCTGGCCAGGACCCAGCTCCCATCTTGTTGACTTCATCTTCCAGCTGCTCATCCCTCTGAAAGTCCCACAGCTTCTCGAAAGGGCAGGTCCAAGCATGTCCACACAGGAGGGTCTTTTTAACTATGAACACCCATTCCCAGCTCTGAACAGAACTCCTACCAATATCCCAACATGTTTTTTTCTCCAACAAACCCCTCTCGCTTTGCCCTCTGCTACTTTGGAGGGCATTTCTCTCTCCTCGGTACTTACTGCCTTATCCCTTTTCTTTGAGGCCCATGTTCATTGCTCTTCCTTTGGGTTCAGTTCAAGGCTCYGGGGGCTCTTCCACTCATATTGTAAAGCTCACAACCTGCCTGGCAGCTAAGCTTCCTCTGCCGACTCACCAATCTATTGCTTTCTCCATAATGAGGAATGGGAGTAGGATGGAGGAAGGGGAGCAGAAGTTCTTACCGTGAGAGGGTCCATGGCTGCACCCACCTATGCAGGAAAGGACCAAAGACATGAACTCCTCCTCTGTCTGCTCCCCTGAATGCATCTAGCATCTTCTTTCCCACTCATTCAAAACCCCGCCCCGGGCCCTCCCTTTGCCAGGACCAGCTGCTCCCCCTCTGCTCCCTGCCCTGGGGACCAGGGAAACTGGTGTTAGTGTCATACAATGAAATCTTCTGGGAAAAGGGAGAGAGTGCATAGTTGCTCAAAGAAGGTAGAAATAGAATTTGGACTATCATAGTTTGAGGGAACTTGGAGACCCTCTGGTCCAACTACTTCATTGTGTATAAGGGCAATGGGATTTGTGCAAGGTCCCTGGCCTTATTCCCCAGTCATTAAACTATGTGGGCTCTATAACTACTTTGTGAGCAGCAGGTAAAGGGAGTTTCTCTGTTTACAACAGTAAATTCTGGGCCCAAGATAAATAACTGTACCAAAGTCACATGGCAGTACGTGATTACAGCTAGGGCAGGAACTAAGGATATAAAAGCCAGTCTCATGCTCAAAACTTATCTTTCCAGAACACAACAGGATCTTATCTGTCAGGCAGTATTGTTCTTTTGACTAGTCCTCAGTTTTCCTTTTAGGAAAATGGACATGAGGATATATACCATTCCTGGAGGGAAGGACATTCTGGATATTATCCCAAGGCCCTAAAGATTACCAGTTCCATCCCAAAAGTTCCAAGGGGGAAAAGGACAGAGCTGCTCTTAGGAGAATTGGGTGCCATGGTGACAGATCCTTGACAACTAGGAATGGGGAGCTGGGCCCAGTGGTACTCTAGGCGTGTCCTGAGGGAATAAATGAAGGGAGGAAGGGAGGACTGCCTTCATCAGTCCTTCTCAGCTGCCAAGAGATCCACTTTCAGGGCTAGGGGTATAGCTCAGTGGTACAGCCCTTTCCTAGGACACATGAGGCCTTTGAATTCCAGCAACAACAATAACAACAACAAAACAACAACAAAAAGAGAGGTGAGAGACCTACTTCTCTGTCTTAGTCATAGTGGGGGCCCAAACCACAGGATTTCATGGCTCACGCTGGAAAAACCTCCCCACACACACTGGCATGTTCTTCTATTTCTCTTGCTGAGAACTGGAACTGGCAGATGGGACACTGGACCCAGGAAATGGGAGGTGAACTCTCTGGGGATGACACCCACAGTACAGACTGGGATGAAGATGGTGAGGAGGGAGAAGCTGGGTGAGGCGGGGAGGTCTCTCCACAAGTGGCAGCATGCAGGGGAAGAATCTCAATGCTGAAGGAACCTAAGGGAGAGAGAAAGAGGTAAACACAAATGGGCCTGTTCTTAGGAAGGATGGCACCCCAAGAAATCTGAAGGGAGCCAGGCATGGAGGCACATGCCTGTAATCCTAGCAACTCAGGAGGCTGAGGCAGGAGGATCATAAATTCAAAGCCAGCCTCAGCAACTTAGTGAGGCCCTAAGCAACTCAGCAAAACCCTGTCTCAAAAAATTAAAAAGGAATGGGGATGTAGCCTAGTGGTAAAGCATCCCTGGATTCAATCCTCAGTACAAAAAAAAAAAAAAAAAGAAGTCTGAAAGCCTGAAAGGTGTATCTGCTGCCAAAATGCAGCTGTTCTTGCAGAAAATTTATCATGGTTGAATATGTGACACCTGAGAGACACTATCATGTATCTGTCAAACATTTATTAAGTATTCACTATGTGCCTGACAGTATGCTAAGAGCTGAAGTAAACAGACTGTCCTTATGGAATGTAGTCTAGTGGTGAAGATAAATTGGGAACAAAAAGAATATTGACAGAAAGTAGGTGAGAAGTGCATAGTCCATGGAATTAAGAGAATGCTGCAGGAGCTCAACTGGGAGAGATTATCTGTGAAGATCAGAGAAGTTTTGGCAAAGAAGTACCATTCGTTCCAGGGGTGTTCTACCACTGAGCTACATCTCCGGCTCTTTTTTGTGGTACTGGGTATTGAACTTAGGGGCACTCAACCACTGAGCCACATCCCCAGCCCTATTTTGTAGTTTATTTAGACATAGGGTCTCAATGAGTTGATTAGCGACTTGCTGAGGCTGGGTTGCTCTCTATCCTCCTGCTTCATCCTCCCTAGCTGCTGGGATTACAGGTGTGTGCCACTGTGCCCGGCTGCAGCTCTTTTAACTTTTATTTTCTTTCTTTTTTTAAAAAAATATTTATTTTTTAGTTGTAGTTGGACACAATACCTTTTGTTTGTTTGTTTTTTTGTTTTAGGTAGACACAATATCTTTATTTTATTTTTATGTGGTGTTAAGGATTGAACCCAGGGCCTTGCATGTGGTAGGCAAGCGCTCTACCGCTGAGCCACAACCCCAGCCCCTTAATTTTTATTTTCAAACAGGACCTCACTAAATTGTTCAGGGCCTTGCTAAATTGCTGAAGATGGCTTCAAACTTGTAACCCTCCTGCCTCAGTCTTCTAAGTCACTAGGATTATAGGTATATGCTACCACACCCAGCAAGAGCTAACAATTTGAACAGAAACTTAGAGTAAGCAGAATTTGGACAGAGGGAAAAGTTATGAAGAAAATTCTAGGCTTTCTCTGACAGTGTTTTACATTGTTTGTGTTTAGCTTCTCCAGAGAGTTGGGGCCCTTGTCACTTCCTCAGCTTACCTGATGTGAAGGGAGCATGTGTTCAATATAAACTTATCTTGAATGACATTTGGCTAAAACCACATAGGTGGGACACATAGGTTACAGAGGTGGGAACTGTAGAGATGACAGAGGCAAGGAGTCCAAATCCAAGTTTCTGCACAGTACCCCCAGATTTCCTATTCTTCCCTTAAGGAATGCTTAGTAATCACATGACCACCCTCCCAGACTGAAGCAGCTTACCTGCACAAATGGGGCATTGTTCACTATCCTGGACACCACTGTTTGGGGCCTGGGATTGGTATTCTCTTTGCCTTGCCTTTACTGTCCCCTTCCTGTTCAGCCGGGAGTTTGAGTTGGTCAAAGGCCTGTAAGAAAAAGCAGGTAAAGACCAGCTATCCGTGAGAAGCTATAAGGGCTGAAGGAATCTAGAATTAGAGCAAAAAGTATTTAGAACAGTGATGTTGACCTAGTAACACTGGGTTGGAGTGATAGTTTTCCCATTTGACATACCAGATTTAAAGGACTTTTTTTTCCCCCCCTTTTGTAGTACTGGGGATTAAACTCAGAGCCTCTTGCATGCTAGGCAAGTAATCAACTACTAAGTACAACCCTAATCATTTTCATGTTGAAATAGGGTCTAAGTTGCCCTTGCCTTGAACTTGCCATCCTCCTGCCTAAGCCTCCTGAGTAGCTGGTATTATAGGTGTGTGTTACCCTGCTGGGTGAAGGAAATCATTTAACCTTTGAACATCTGACAACAGAGCTTCTGGGGCTGGGGGGTATAGTTCAGTGGTAGAAGGTTTGCCTGGCATAAAGACCCTGGGTTTAATCCCCACTGAAGAAAATGAAACCAAAAAAACCCCAGAGCTTCTATTATTGTTCTTAGATTTCAATCATTTATTTCTTTTCTTTTTAAATTTATTTTTTAGTTGTAGTTGGATACAATACCTTTATTTTACTTACTTATTTTTATGTGGTGCTGAGGATCGAACCCAGGGCCTTGCTCATGCTAGGTGAGCGCTCTACCACTGAGCCACAACCTCAGCCCTATTTATTTTCTTTTTTTAATTGTAGATGGGCATAATACCTTTATTTTGTTTACTTATGTGGTGCTGAGGATTGAACTCAGCGCCTCATGCATGCGACGAGACAAGTGCCCTACCACTAAGGCACAACCCAGCCCTATTTTTTAAAAATATTTTTTTAGTTGTAGTTGGACACAATACCTTTATTTTATTTATTTTTATGTGGTGCTGAGGATCGAACCCAGTGCCTAGCCTATGCTAGGCGAGTGCTCTACTGCTGAGCTAGAACCCCAGCCCTTAATTATTATTATTATT